GCAATGTGATTTCCTGTGCGTTTGGGTCAGCGATGCGCACCCATACAGTCTTGTCTGCAGCTGGGATGGGCCAGATGTCCGTTATCGACGACACCGGCTTCCCTTTGACGGCGTCCTTTGTGACCCGGCACTGAGAGTCTAGGCACCACAGGACCTGTGGCCAGCTGCGAGGTGGGATGGGGTATTGGGTCCCTGGCGGGCTGTGCAAGTCTGCATTTAGCGGGGCGGCAAAACAGCGCAGGTGTGAGCTTATGCTAGTGGCCCACATCAATAGGCCGAGGCAAGATTCGAGCTCCTTGCGGGGGACGCGCTTGTGCTCCAGAAGGCCGAGTAGCTGGGCGCGCAGCTTATCCAGCTTGGGCTGTGCCAGGCATACGGACTCTGTGGCAAAGCAGAACTTCCAACCGCACCACACGAGTTGGTCGCCGAAAGCGGCTTTCTTCCAGCTGAGTGGGGCTCCGATGACCGTGAGGAAGGCCACTGTGAGGGCTAGCTGTGCTGCGTGCGTTGCGTGCCTGCGAGTCATCCTAAGCCCTGAGGCACAGGCGCGCTCGATTTGCGGGAGCTTGGGCTGACTTTTGGACAGCATCTCTCGCGGAGAGATTTGACATTGCAAGTGCAGGCCAATACTACTGGCAGAAACGGCCTTACTGCGTGCACGGCGTGCCGTGCTCGATTACTGGGAGCCTTGGCACTATTCGGCCGACTTTTGGGCAGCATCTCTTGAGGAGATATTGGGCATAGGAAGTGTAGGCAAAGACTGGCAGAAACAGGCATTGCTGTGCCTGAGGTCCGGGCGCGCGATTGCTGGGAGCTTTGCCACTGTTCGGCCGACTTTTGGGCCGTGTCTCCTGAGGAGATATTTGGCATATGAAGTATGGGCAGTGCAGGCAAAAAGGGGCATTGCTGCGCATGAGGCACATGCGTGCTCGATGTCGGGGAGCTTTGACTCTGTTATGCAGACTTTTGGGCGGCATCTCTCGCGGAGAGAGTTGGCTCGCAAGTATAGGCGAATACTGGCAGGAATGGTAGGCGAATACTGGCAGGAAAGGCATTGCTGCGTGTACAGCGTGCCTGCGTGTCATCCTAAACCCTGAGGCACAGGCACGCTCGATTTCTGAGAGCTTGGCACTGTCAGGCTGACTTCTGGCAGCTTCTCTCGGGAAGAGATTTGGCACGCAAAACGTAGGCGAACACATGCAGAAATGCGAGTATTGTATCATCCAAAACCTTGAGGTATTGCGCGCTCAATTTCTGGGAGCTTCCGCAGGCTTCACTCGTGTTCTTGTGTGAATCCCTGCATCTACCCCGTGTGCATGCCTCGGGGTCGCATCTCTCAGGGCGAAGACTCGTGAGAAGTATCAGCCAAAGACATGGGCATAGATGGCACCGTCGCAAGCAGTATGCGGGCGCGCGCCATCCTAAGCCCCGAGAACCGAGGCAGGATGGCTGGGTTGGCGTCGCGAGCTTCGCACGCGGACGCTAGGGCGATTCTCTTAGGCGCCGGCTGGACTTTTGCGCCTGCATTTTTGGAGGTCCTTGTGAATTGCTCGGGCGCCCCGAAGGCTTTGCGACTTCTCCTCATGGTCGAGGGACAGGTTTTACCGCTCCTCTCGAGGCTCAAATGCATGAAAAATGGTAGCCAGAACATAGGCATAGATGGCATTGTTGCGGCAGGTGTGGGCGCGTGCCATCCTAAACCTTCAAAGGCTCAGGCAGGATGGCCGGGCTGGCTTTGCGAGCGGCGCCCGCGGGCATGAGTGTGATTTGCTAAGCAGTGGCTGGACTTTTGCAAGTTTGGAAGTCCTTGTGAATTGCTCGGGTGCCCCGAAAGCTTTGAGACTTTCCGCATGGTCAAGGGACAGGTTTTACCGCACCTTTCGAGGCTCAAATGCATGAAAAATGGTAGCCAATACAAAGGCATAGATGGCACTGTTGCGGGCAGGTGTGTGCGCGTGCCATCCTAAACCGTCAAGAACTCAGGCAGGATGGCCAGGTTGGCTTCGCGAGCGGCGCCCGCGGACACGAGGGCGGTTTGCTTAAGCATTGGCTAGACTTTTGCGCCTGCAAGTTTGGAAGTCCTTGCGAAATGTTCGGGGGCCCCCGCAAGCTTTGCGACTTCTCCTCATGGTCAAGGGACCGGTTTTACCGCACCTCTCGAGGCTCAAATGCATGAAAAATGGTAGCCAATACAAAGGCATAGATGGCATTGTTGCGGGCAGGTGTGTGCACGTGCCATCCTAAACCCTCAAGAACTCAGGCAGGATGGCCGGGCTGGCTTCGCGAGCGGCGCCCGCGGACACGAAGGCGGTTTGCTTAAGCCCTGGCTGGACTTTTGTGCCTGCAAGTTTGGAAGTCCTTGTGAATTGCTCGGGTGCCCCGAAAGCTTTGAGACTTCTCCGCATGGTCGAGGGACGGGTTTTACCGCACCTCTCAAGGCGCAAATGCATGGGAAATGGTAGCCAATACATAGGCATCGATGCCAGTGTTGCGGGCAGGTGTGTGCGAGTGCCATCCTAAACCCTCAAGAACTCACGCAGGATGGCCGGGCTGGCTTCGTGAGCGGCGCCCGCGGACACGGGGGCGGTTTGCTTCAGCATTGGCTAGACTTGTGTGCCTGAAAGTCTTGAGGGCCTTGTGAATTGCACCGATGCCCCAAAAGCTTTGGGACTGCTCCTCATGGTCGACGGACAGGCTTTGAGAGACTTGAAAGGCCATATCCTGGGCAATAGTACCGGTGATGCGGCTCGGCTGTGAAGAGGGCTTGGCTGCTTCGTGGCTGGGGAGGCTGGGTAGATTCTTGGCGAGCTCTGAGGCTGTGGCCCGAAGGGAGGGGAGTGGCCAGAATACAAGGCCAGGCCCTTGACGCCGCGGCTCGAGGTTCGGGGCTTGATTAGGGCTCGTCAGCCTGTCGGCTACGACATTAGTGGTGAGCGGCCTTGGCGTGGCTCGTGCAGCCGGGCGTCCTGGCTTGCTGGCGCCGGGCAGATCCGAGTTCTGCATGCCTTCGTGCAATACGCGTATGGGTCTGGCGTGCGAGGAGGCGAAGGAGCAGGCTGGGCTGTCAGGGCAGGCACGAGCTGTCAGAGCATCTTGGGGCGCATGTCGCCCGCAGGAGAAACGAGGTCGGTGCAGGGGCTGTCGTTTGCGAGGAACGCTGGCTGTGGCTTGGCGCGTTCATGGCCCAGGCTGCAGGTTGAGATGAGTGCTGGCCCGCTTAAGGCTGCGGCCCAAATCTTCAGGCCAGGAAAAGTTTTGGTTCTTGGCTCGCCTGACGGTTGCGGGCTGAGGCAGAAGGCGAATTTCAGCTCTTGGTGCAGCAACATGCTGAAGGCTAAGATGGAGGCCTGGCCCCCCCTTTCACTACACGGCCTGCTTAAAGCCAAATTGGCCAAGAGTTTCCTTGGTCTTTTGGGGCTGCAACCCTCGGCTTCAGGCCACGTGTGCCACCCTAAAACCCCACGTGCACAGGCAGGATGGCCGGGTTGGCGTCGGTAGCTGCGCGCACGGACACGAGGGCCTTTGCGCATAAGCAATGGCTGGACTTTTGTGCCCGAAACTTTTGAAGTCCTTCCGATGCCCTAAAAGCTTGGGACTTCTTCTCATGGTTGAGGAACGGGTTTTGCCGACCTCTCAAGATGAAGATGCATGGGAAGCGGTAGCAAGTGCCTAGGCATAGATGGCATTGTCGCGGGCAGTGTATGGGAAAGTGCCATCCCGACCCCCAGTCCCCAAGTGCACAGGCAGGATGGCCGCGTTGGCGTCGCGGGCGGCGTGGCTTCAAGCTGAAGGCCAGGATACAGGCATTGGCCCCCCCCCGAGACTGCGCCCCACTGGGGGCTGAGGGTTGAGGCTGAGGGCGAAGACGCGGGCTTGTCGTCCTCGAGGCTTCCGCTGAAAGCCGAAGGCTAAAGAAAGAACTGTTTAGCCCCTTCCTTGAGATTGCCAAGAAGAAGGTTTTGGCCGCTCTGAGATTGCGTCTTAACTGGGCACTGCGGGCTGGGGCTGAAGTCGAAGGCGTGGGATTGTCTGCCGCTCAGGGCCGAAAGCGAAGATAACTGCTTGGCCCCCCTTGAGGTTGCGGCTTCAAGCTGAAGGCCTAAGATACAAGCTGTGGCCCCCTTGAGACTGCGGCTCAACGGGGGGCTGTTGCTGGGGCTGAAGACGAAGACGCAGGCTTGTATTCTGTGAGGCTTCCCCTTGGAGGCTAAGATCTCTGCTTGGCCTCCCTTGAGGTTGCGGCTTGCAGGTGAGAGCCAAGATGGAGGCTTCGGCCTTTGTGAAGCTGCGGCTCGACTGTGGGCGGCGAGGTGAGGCTGGCGGCGAAGATGCAGGCTTGTCTTTGCGAGGCTGCCGTTTAGGGCGCCAGGATAACTTCTTGGCCCGCCCTTGAGGTGGCGGCTACGGCCCCCCTGAAACTGCGGCTCCGTTGGGGGCTGCGGGCCGAGGCTAGAAGCGAGAATGTGGGCTTGCCCTCCTTGAGGCTCTCGCTTGCAGCCGAAGGCTAAAGGCGGCCAGGACCATGGCTTGGGTCCTTAGTCTGCTGTTCAGGCCGAAGGCTGAAAAGAGGTTTTAGCTCGCCTGGGGGCTGCAGGCAAAGGCGAGCGTAAGGGCTTGGGCGCTATGGGGCTGCGGCCTGAAGCGGAAGGCTGTAAGATCCCCGTTTGGGGCCTGTGGGCTCCACTTGGGCAGTTCATGGGCAACTCCACCGTGAAGAACTCTGCCACGAGGAAGTGAACTGCACCTGGCGAGAGGGGTTGCTAACCCTAGCAAGGTCCTACAGGCGGTTCGTGGGCAACCCCACAGTGAAGAACTCCGCCACGAGGAAGTGAACTGCACCTGGCGAGAGGGGTTGCTATCCCTAGCAAGGTCCTACAGGCAAAGAAAAAACACACGGGCAGTTGTTTGTGACAGTCAAACCCACGCGGGACCTGCACAAGGACATGTGGAGGTCACTGAAGGCCGCGCGCGTGGCTGTGCTGGCTAGGCGTTCCCAAATGCTATAGGCCATCCGTGGCGTAGGCAGGTAGGCAGCATATGAGGCGGGCACAGTTTACGGACCCGCAGGGCAGGTGCAGACGAGGGCGTGAGTCGGCCCAAACGCGTCTGGGGATGTGGCTGTTGGCAAACCCAAGCCGTGCGCCTGCGAGGAAGGTGCCTGGCCTTGGCGCTTGTGGACCATATTGGCTGAAACCTGCCCATGTTACGCACGGGCATGTTTGGCCTCTTGCGCAGATTCTTTCCGAGGCCAAGGCAAGGGCTGTTGGCGTGGCCAGGGCAGGGCCAGAAGGCTTTACCTGACAGGGGGCTTGTGTGAGGGCTGGGAGAGCTGATACTTGGGCAAGCTCAAGGGCAAGGGACGTGGCTACTTGTGGCAAGTCTGCCACAGGACGTGTGCATTTGGGCAGACTGGTGGGTTCGTGGGCAGGGTTACCCTGAGGAACTCCACGACGATGTTGTGGGATGTACCTGGCGAGCGGGGCAGCTAATCCTAGAGATGTCACAGCTAGGTCAAGGCAAGGGGAACACACGGGCAGTCGTACTTTGCGGTGTGCCCTGAAGACGCGCGGTCCTGTGGACGTCCTGACGGCTTTGCTGGGCTGGGACAGTCCCAACAACAACAGGCCATCCGACCTGGGATGTGTTTCTTCCCGACCAACGAGGAGAAGGCTTTGCGGGCACTGGCTGGCCGACCTGGGCGGTAGCTGAAGGCTCGCCGACCAGGGCGGTGGCTGATGGCCGACTTGGCGGTGGGCGGGTCGGCGTGGGCGCGGGTCCTTAGACCGCTGGCTGTCCCGTGACTACCCGAAGCGGGGCCGTTGTGGGCACTGGCTGGCCGACCTGGGCGGTGGCTGAAGGCTGGCCGACCTGGGCGGTGGCTGATGGCTGAGGGCGGTGGCTGAAATCTGGCCGACCTGGGCGGTGGCTGATGGCTGGCCGACCTGGGCGGTGGTTGATGGCAAGGCGGTCTGCACCGACTGGGCGTCGGCGGCAGGCGGGCCCTGTGCACTACCGAGAGCAGGAGCTCACGAGCTTTTGGGCCCAATTGCATGAAATGCAAAGTTCCAGCTTGATGGTGCAGACTGCCTGCGGTAAAGCAGTCACTGTAGGCTGCGCGGGGCTGGGCCAGCCCCAAAACACTGAGAAACATCCGAGGAGAAGGCGGAGTCTTCCGACTCAGGCGGAGGCAGCTGGGCAGAACTCCAGCGTGAGTCCGAGGCGGACCACCAGTCTATGACACGCAGGGCATGTCTAAATGTGGGCGTGGGGCGAACCCAATGGCATCTGAGCGCACCGCTGCTGGCAAGCAAAATTTGCGTCTAGAGCCAGGCACGCAGACGTAGGCGGCTGGGCAAAGTTCCAGCGTAAGTCCGAGGCGGACCAATAGTCTGTGACACGCAAGGAATGTCCATGCGTGGACAGAAGGTAAGCCTGGCGGCAGGGGCAATGCGCTTGCGAGGGGAATGCTGAAGCTTCCGATTCGGGCATAGGCGGCTGGCAAGTCCCAGCGTGAGTCCGAGGCGGACCACGAGTCTATGACACGCAGAGCATGTCTAGACGTGGGCCTAAGAACAAGGCCGGCGAGAACAAGCAGCGCGCTGCAAGAAGAAACAGTGGCAGGGCTTTTGCGGTGAGGCATGAGCAATAAGTAGGCAGCTGGGAAAAAACTCCAGCGTGAGTCCGAGGCGGACCATCAATCCCTGCAAGGAAGAGCGGGATCTTCGATTCAGGCACAGGCGGCAGGCGGCTGGGCAAGGCTCCAGTGTACACGTAACTATGACATGCAGAGCATGTCAATACGTGGGCCTGATATAGGCCCGGCGCAACAAGCAGCGCGCTTGCGCCAGTGCATGCCATTTCCTTATGCCTAAGTCTGCCTGTGCATTTCGCAAGATGTCAGAATTGGCGCACACAGGCCTCTTCAGGGCAAAGGGACGAGCTTGACCGCATCTCTCTAGGCAAAAATGCATGATGCCTAGGCATGGATGGCATTGGGCGCGCGCCATCCTAGACCCCCAAGAATTCAGGCGGGGTGGCCGGGCTGGCGTCGCGAGCTGCGCACGCAGACGCGAGAGCGGCTTTCATAGGCATTGGCTGGACCTTCGTGCCTGACATTTTTTGAGAAAAGCATGAGACGTGGTAGGCTAGCACATGAGCATGCATTGGCATTGTCGCTGGCAGCGTATGGGCATGAGCTATCCTCAGCCCCTAAAAGTCAGGCTGGAAGGCCAGGCAACCGACGTGAGGCGGTTTTCTTAGGCATAGGCTGGACTTTGGTGCTTGACAGTTTTGAAGTCCTTGTGTTTTGCACAGATGCCCCAAAAGCTTTGAAGCTTCTCCGCACGTTCAGGGGACGGGCTTCACCGCGTGTCAAGGCGAAAATGCATGAGAAGCGGTAGCCGAAAGCCTAGGCATGGAAGGCATTTTCGAGGGCAGCGTGTGGGAGTGTGCCATCCTAAACCCCGGGGAGCTCAGGCAGGATGGCCAGGCTGGCGTCGCGAGCTGCGCACGGACGTGAGGGCAGACTTCCTAGGAATCGGCTGGACTTCGTGCCTGAAAGATTTGAAGTCCTTGTGAGTTGCACCGATGCCCGAAAAGCTTTGAGGCTTCTTCTCATGGTCAGGGGACGGGCTTGACCACTCTCAAGGCGAAAAAACACGAGAAGTAGCAGCCTATACATGGGCATGGATGGCAGTGTTGCGGGCGGGCGTGGGCGCGTGTCATCCTAAACCCTCAAGAACTCAGGTAGGATGGCCGGGCTGGATTCACGAGCGGCGCGCGCGGACGTGAGGGCGGTTGCTTAGGCCTTGACTGGACTTTCGTGCCTGAAAGTTTTGAAGTCCTTGTGTTTTGCACCGATGCCCCAAAAGCTTTGAAGCTTCTCCGCATGTTCAGGGGACGGGCTTCACCGCGTGTCAAGGCGAAAATGCATGAGAAGCGGTAGCCAAAAACCTAGGCATGGAAGGCATTGTCGCGGGCAGCGTGTGGGAGTGTGCCATCCTAAACCCCTAGGAGCTCAAGCAGGATGGCCAGGCTGGCGTCGGGGGCTGCGCACACGGACGCGAGGGCAAATTTCCTGTTAAGGCAGTTTTTCTAAGCAGTGGCTGGACCATTTGTGCCTGAAGTTTTGAAGCTGCTAGTGATTGCACTGATGTCTCAAAAGGTTTGAGACTTCACCTCATGGCCAAAGGATGGGCGTCGATGCTCAGGAGTGGTAGCAAAATGCATAGGCACAGATGGCATCGCTGTGTACCGCGTGTGGGCAGTGTCATCCTAAACCCCCAAAAACTCAGGCAACATGGCCGGGCTGGCGTCGCGAGCTGCGCACACGGACGCTAGGGTGATATTCCTAAGCAGTAGCTGGACCATTGGCGCCCGAAAGTTTTGAGGCTTCTTGTATTTGGCAGATGCCTCAAGAGTTTTGAGACTCCGCCTCATGCTCAAGGGACGGGCTTCGAGCGATGCTTTCCGAAGGCCATTTCCTGGGCTAGAGTTCACCAGTTCTCCAAAGTTTCCCTCCTGCGCTCCTGCCCGTTGCACAAATGTCTCAAGGGCTTTGAGACTTTTCCTCACTGCCAAGGGGGGCATCGCGCGTGCAGCTAAAACGGGGCCACTCCTTAGGCTGGAGGCGCCAGTTCCCCAAAGGCGTTTCAGGCTCAGGGCTGTGAAGGGGGCTTGGCTGCGGAGGCTGGGTATTGGCGAGTTCGCCCAGGCATACATCGTAGGCTGTGTGCCTGCAAGGTCAGTAAGAAGGCTTAGCTTCCTGGCGCGCTCGATTTCTGGGAGTCCTTGTCCTGCCCTGCTGGCTGTTGAGGAGCATACCTAGGGCAGGATTTTGCATGAAAAGCAAGGCCAACGCAGGCAGAAACAGCATTGCTGGTGCTTTGATGTGCCTGCGTGTCATTTTATCCCTGAAGGCAGCGCGCTCGATGTCTGGGAGCCTTGGCGCTGTCAGGCTAACTTATGGGCACCATCCCTGGGGGGAAGATTCTGCTTGAAAAATGTAGGCAGACGCAGGCAGAAACGGCGTTGCTGCGTGCTTTGTGGCTGCGTGTGATTTTGAAACCCCGAGGGGTGCTATGGGCTGCGGCCTGAAGCTGAAGGCCGAGATAACAGCCTGAGTTGCTTGAATAGCAGTGGCTTGGGGCCGAAGGCGGAAATCAAGGGGTTTGGCTGGCCCGTAGGCCTCGGGCTGAGGCTCGAGGCTAGATCTTGCCCCCCTTGACGCTGTGGCCTAAAGCTGGCGGCTAACGTAGCAGCTTTGGCCTCCTTTGAGGCCTCGTCTCAAGGCCGCAGACTGTGATGAAGGCTGGCTTGGCTGGAGGCTGCGGGCGAAGAAAAGGGGCGGGCCCCCTTAGGCTGCAGCATAGAAAGCGCGGCCACCCTTGAGGCTGTGGTGGCGTGTGCCAGCGCTTCATCCCAAACCCCTATAAGTTAAGCAAACAAGGGGGGCATGGGGGGGGGAGGCTGCCATCACATGCTGCGTGCGCAAGTGCTGGACCTAGTTGCGGCTTGTGCAACTTTACGCAACTTCCCTGTTTTGATTATTGGGAAGAGCTTGCTTCTCATGGCGCAGAGATTTTTAGGCGAGGGCCTGCAGCTCATAGCAGGGTGGCAACGTTGGAGCACGGAGGGGCACTCGGCGAGGCAGCGTTGCAAGAGGGCAATGCCGAAACCCAAGCTGAGGAGGCAGGGCCTGTGTGCACGCTCCAGTCTTTAAAGCCTCGGTGTTGGCAGGTCTAGCTTTGAGGGGTATCACCTGAAGGAAGGCCTGCGGGAGTGCCACTCCCCAAATAGGGCTTAGAGTTGTCCTCCACGCGGTCGTTCTCGTTGTTGGTGATGCTGAGGTAGTCGTCGCGAGCACCTGGCGGGAGGGTAGGGGCAGAAATTATGGCCTGCGTATGTTACGCGGCAAAAGGCCGAGATCACACGCTCTGCGCTTGTGTGAAAAATTCACGCTGAAATCGGCCCCGATGGGGCTGCGGCCGCAGGACCAACGCAGAGGGGCTGGGTAGGTTTCGCTCATCTTGGGCAGGAGATGCTACGCAAGCATCCTGGGCGTATGAGTCATCTCCAACATAGCTGTTATTCTGGCGTGGGCTAGGCAGGCGTCGGGGAGGCATGTCGCGTAGGACTGCTCAACTGAGATGCTTGCACAATCATCCGAGGTGGATGGGCTATCTCAGTGGCCGAGGCAGGGCAGGATGCGGGAGGCTGGCCTGGATCTGAAAATAGGCCTTGGCAGCGGGGCAACGAGGCGAGGGTCCTCTAGGTGTAGAATTTCTCTACGCAGCAGGGCGTGGGGATTGGCCTCCTCCCACCTGTTTGCTGGGACCTGGAAGGTACGTAGGGCCTGAAGATGTGCATTGTAGGGCAAGATGGCAATGCGCTTGAGGGTATTGATTTGGGAGGGCATGGGCCTCAAGGCTTCTCTAAGATAAGCCAGTTCTGCTTCTGTGCGAATGCGGTAGGCCAAAAAATCGGCAGAGGTGCTATCGAGTTCGTGCCTGAGATCGGTGTAGGCCTGTTGGGCAAGGGCCAGGCTGGCACGTGTTTCCTGCAATTTGGCGGAAACTGCATGCAACTCTAAGCGCCTGGATTCTGCTGTTTGCATAAGGGTGCGGCTCAAGGCATCTTGGCAGGCCAGGTGGTTGTGCATGTATACAAGCAAGGACCTTCTGTATTGCAGGTCATGAGGCTCGTTGGGCGTGTCGGCCGACCTGGCTGCACCCGGCTGGGGCGAAGGTGGCAACGTCTCTGCTGAAGGCATGAAGTCATCAGGCGCAGAAGGCGAGTCTGAGGCTCCAAGAGGAGTAAGACGCTTAGCTTCAACAAAGTGTTCGGCGGGGCCCATAGGCTCGTCCAATGTAGTAGTCGAGCTGGAGGCTCCAAGAGGAGTGGATCTCCTAACTCCAAGATGGGCTCGGATGGGCCCGTGTGCGCATCCATTGTAGTAGGCAAATCTAAAGCTCCAAGAGGAGTGTGTCTCGCAGCTCCCGAAGCGGAGGCCTCTGCAGTAGGCGTAGAGTGGTCATCTCGGGCAGGATGTGCAAAGAGGGCCAGTCTCCCCTCATGCAAGTAGACCAGCTGTTCCCAAGTGCCGACGTAGTCGTGACGCCCATCATCAAAGGCACTGCGAACCTCTGTGCGGATGGGCATGTTTGCGCGATAGGCCATGGCAGGAAAAGGCAGGCTACGAAACACCGGGGTTACAGGGCCTGGAGGCTCTAGAAAGCACTAACAGCGTAGAAGGCCTTGACCGAAGAAAGCAGAAGGCCCCACCTAGGGGTTAGGTCAAGGCCAGCTGTGAGCCGGAGATGCTCCAGCTGTGCAAGGCATGCCTGGGCAAAATGCAAACGGCGGTGCATGATTCACTTGTGGGAAAACACACGGGAACCAAAAACCCGAAGCGAGCCAAGGCCAGAAGTTTATCAGAAGTCTCATCGTGAAGAAGGTCCAAACCTTCTCCAAAAAGTGGATCAACTGCAAGACAAGGAATACCCAGCGCACGTACCGCCGTGGAGAAAGGAGCCGAAGAGCCACAGCAGAGGTCCAGGAAAAGCTTTGTATCTGACGCCAAAGGCACTAGCGATGGCGATGGTGAAAGTGCCGCCGAAGATGTGGTCTCAGCCCCAGGGAATGGAAAAGATAGCGACTGCAGCTGCAATAATTCTTCGGATGACGCAGATTGGAAAACTTGCGGGGTGTACGCGATCAGCACCCATCGATCTCCAACCCACTCAGAAGAACCATGAAGAAGACGTGGGTTGAAAGAAAAAGGCTTTTCGTGAATGTTCACCAGGCCGCCGGAGCAATCCAGGGACTGGGAAGATGGGGGAGGTGCGGGCTGTTCCAATGCACCCTCCAACCAAAGAAGGCCACCAACATGTTGGCCCAGAGAAAGCACATGGTTTTCAGAGCCGTACAAATTCCCTGAATCACTGTGTAGCTTTGCAAAAGAGTTATGGGACACGCAAACCGAAGCCCAACTCTTCCCAGGGAAAGCTCGCCTTAAACAAAGGTTGATGAAAGAGACAAGCTCTGGAAAATCCCAAGTCAGATTGCAAATGCCGACCTGTGTCCCTGAGCGGTATCCAAAGTTGAGATAAGCTGAAGAGTCTGTGGACTGAACCACATGCTCACGCCTCGAAAAGTTCAAATCGCCCAAAAATGCCACCAAGACCGAAAGTAATGCCGCAAAAGAAAAGTCGCTTGCACCAAGGAAATTGGCCAGCAGATCCTTAGGATTGCTGCTCGAAGGTAGAGCCGCCCCTGCAAGAATGTCGCCTGTACACAAGAGTTGTGAGGACTTTGAAGGAGCTGAAGCCACATCACATGATAGTCAGTGAGGAGTTGCCCGGTGCTGAGTTGCACTATGCTTCCCACCGCAAGGGGCGCCGTCCTGCTTGGCAACACAGCAAACATGGAGAAACTTGCAAGCGGGTCGCTGGCACCCTGAAGGCAGATTGTACTGAACACAAATCTTCTGGACCTCGTTGTTGCGCACGATCTCTGTTGCCCAGGGTGTGCGTTCCTTGCCTGAAAAAGCTTCTTTAAGGCCAAACCCCCTACCCTTACCCTTAGGTTTGCCGGGAGGCTTGCCCTTGAACCCGCCCTTGCCCCGAGAAGGCTCAAACTTCGGAATCCAAGGACGAGCTTGAAGCATTGAGGACAGCTCGTTTCGGACCTCCACAACTTCAGAGATCGCGTCGTCAAGCTGCCAGCCATGAGCAAGCAAATCACCTATCACTTCCCAAGCTCGACGATCTGCATTCATCGCCTCCTGAACATTGACAGAGCGCAAGCCAGAGCCATTCTCGAAGCGCTGCAAGGCCAACTTCAAGAAACGCTTCTCATAGAGGCGAAGGACGCCAAGATGCGCACCTTCCACCAGGGCTATGGCATTGGAGTGAATTGAGAGCACAGAACGAAGGATGCCTTCTGATGCTGGGTTGTTGCCATGTGGAAGGTCCCGGACAGGCACTTCGTCCACGAAAAGATTGTCAAGCTTAGGCAGCTTACTCGGCCGTTGAAGCTGGGAGGCGTCAAGCTGAGCTTGGCTCATACGCCAAGCCCAAGGAATCCACTGCCACTCCTTGTTTTTGACATAACGATGTGCCAAAGCTAAAAGCCGTGAACTCGGCATCGATTCACTGTCCAGTATTTCGGAAGGATAAGACTTCTCGAAGCGATCCCGAAAAGAGCGTACAACGGCAGCATCCAGCTTGGGTGGAAAAGTCTCCGCCCACGTACTTGTCGAGGAAGTAGTGGACAGTGGTTGCGTTGCATTCACCGCAGGATTTTCGGCTGGTACTTCAGGTGCAGAGCAGTGCTGCCAAAGACGACGAATCTTGGCACGAACCACGAACTCATCTTCGCTGTAAGAAGCCAATTCCAAAGAAGCAAGGAAGTGATTCAAGTCTGTAAGATCTGTAGCCACAAGCCCGAAAAGCTTGGGCGTAAAGTTGCCAATCACAGCGTGGAGCTCCGACGGGATGTCGAAAGAAGCCAGAAGAGCTGGCATGTCATCCTCGACCACATCGAAACCTAGACTTGTTGCCAATGAAGCCATGCAGGGCACTGATTGCAATGAAGCACCAAAGCCTATGCGCGCAGAGCCGCACCCAAACGGAGGGTTCAGAAGGTTTGCTGAAGCGCCTCTTGTTGCAGAGGAAGCGGAAGCGATCACTCAAACGCAAAACGCGCACATGCACATAGGGAGCTATTGCAGACCCGAAAGTTTGTACCAATCATTGGAGCCTAAGAGAACAAAGGAACCACAAGAGGAGATACCATCAACCTATGCAACATGCAGCAAATGTACGCAAGAAAGTTACCTCAAGGGAAACTATCTGCAACGCTGAGAGCAGAGGCCCAATTGGCCAAGCGTGTTTCTGGGACGAAACAGGGAAGCTTGTGCTGAGGTACCTGCACCCCGCTCTGAAGAAGCTTGACGCATGCATGCTATCCTCGCGCACGCATCCCTCACATGTGCTTCCCCGACTGAAAAAGCGCTCTTGAAGCTATAGAAAAACTAGAAGCCTATGAGGCAGCGAAAAGTAGGACCTTTTGCATTTCACGCCAAAGGAAGCTCAAAAATCTTCATACAAGCGGGGCGTTTGCAAAGGCGCCCGCCAGCGGGGAGAAAAGCCACTGATTCCAGTCGAGCGGAACGAACGCCGCAGGCCGGCAGCATGTCTTTAGCTGGGTCCCCAGCGTGGTACACACCGCTTGGAGCCTTCCAAACGCATAGCTCCTCAGGAGCGCCCAGATCAAGCAGCGCAGGAGGCACCGATTCCTCATCAGACGAAGAAGCAATGCCCTGTTCTGACGAAACTGTTGACTCCGGAGGCCCCGTTGAGCTCATTGCGACAGAGCAAGACGCCTGCTGCACAGCACCAGTCTCCGAAGATGATGGCTGTGCCGTTGCGACCTGACCATGCTGCTCAGAAGAACGAGGCGCAAAGAAAGGATGAACCGCAGCAGGTGGTACGCAAGAGAGAATGGTACAAGCCGGTTGCTGCACTGGTGGAGCCGCACCACGAAGCATAGTAATGCGAGGCAACCAGCCACTCCTCAAAGCATCAAGGACACTGCGTTGAACCTGCAGCGCATAGTGAACGTCGTCTCGACTGTACAGTTTCGTCATGCGATGATGGCCTTGAAAAGCACGAAGGAATTCGGAAACGTTCAACTGTATGGCCATGGAAAGAACTGTAGCCTTGGCACTGTGAAGTGTAAACTCCTGGATCTGAGACGCTCCAAACAACCCAGATTTCTGCAGGAGTTCCCTAAGAGCGCGCAAAGAAGCTGCGTAAGATAGTGGCTCGAACATACCATCTTGCCAGCTGAAAAACAGGACATCAGGGGTAAAGTCTGGCAAGACTTCACGAACCTCACTGAAAACTTCGCCAAGAAGCCAGACCCAGTGGTCCACCCAAGAAAAGCCTGAACTGGCCTGAATGCCTTCACGCCATATTGCGAAAGGCATGCCCTGTGTAGACACCTTCGTCCTGACAGCAGTTGATCGCAGTGTATCGATGTCCAAGAAAATAGCATCCCAGAGGACCGACTGTGCATCACTCCATCGAAGACTTGCGTAGATGCAAGTAAGAATTGCTCCCGAAAATAACCTGTAAAAGCGTGGAAAGATGTCCCCCTGAATCACGACGGCCTCAAGAAAGGCAATGAAAGCTGCAGGAAACGGCACAGACTCTCGACGAGGACCAGGACGTCGAGCCTCCAACGCTCGAAACATCGGCGATGCCAAGTCGGGCCAGGGCAACTCGAAAAGTTTCTTAATCCAACGCAGAGCCTTGAGAACATTCACTGGAGCAGTAAGCGGGCCTGAAGGTTGCCTGGCCAAGACCGCAAAAGCGTCCAGGAACATGAACAATTCGAAACCTCCACAGACAGTACCATGCAGCTCCTCAAAAACTTGCAAGAAACGCAGCAAAGATTGGCAATACCGCATGCATGTCGATTCACTGACAGACTGAAAAAGACGATCAAGAATCTGACTTGTCTGAACTGCCTGATGAGCTTGCTGCAGCACGGGAGAAATTGCAAGAAAGATGCCCACAAGTGTGTCCCAAAGAGCTGCAGCACGTAGTGACATCGCTGCTCGCACAGATTGCTGTGTCACCAACGATGAAGCTTTGCCCTCTGTTCGCCTTGTAGAAGCCTGTCCCGACCGTGACTGCAAAGGCAAATAGAAAGAAGATGCATTTGGCGCCCCCTTGACACTGTCGTGTGAAGCAGCGTCCGAAGATGCAAGAGCCGAAGGCCCCATTGTTGTATCTGAAGCACCTGAAGCCGTGAGAACCTGACTGTGCGTTCCTGTGGGCACTCGGCAATGTGTGGCGTAAGCAGATGCACGTTTAGGGCAAGGCTTAGGGGAAGGGGAAAAAGCTAACCCTGGGCGCGCGAGCTTACCCCCAGACATAGGTCTAGGTGGGGGTGGATCCGAAAGCACATCTGCTAGCCGCTTCCGTGCAGGAACCCTAGGCTGAACCCGAACAGACCCGGAAGACCCTGGACGAGCCCCTGGGAAAGCTTTCGCAGTAACCCCCAGCCCCCGACCCAGAGAAGGGGCCGTGCCGCAAGAGGGAGCTTTAGGAGTCGCCTGCAAAGGCAAAAGCACTGTCGTTGGCGGTGACATAGTCGGCGGAATATTATGAAATTGGGGAGGAACCAAAGCAGCTGCATGTAAATCCGCTTCAGAAGATTCTTCCAGAACAGCATCTGAAAAACCAGTCGATCCATGTACTGAAACTGCTGAAATGCAAGCCGCTGCAGGAAGATTTGCCAACGAACTGACCGTGGACTGCCAACGCTTACGAAAGCCCCTTGCTCCAGACTGAGGAGTAGAACCACCAAGCTCCCCATCAGAAGTGGAACCCACATTTGCAGACTGTTCCATAAGAAAAGAAAGAAGCAAAACTGATTTGCCCAGAAGAATCAAGAATGAGGAACCTCACGCCAAGCCGTAAGAACTGCCCGGAGAAAAGCGGCTGCTGGCGCTTGCCGAGGAACTATCAGGCAAAACCAGCTCGGGAGGCAGCTCTTCCATTCGGCGCAAGGCTCCCAAAGGATGCCTAGAAGAACGTGTCCTAGTAAAGACATGTGCCTGCAAAAAAGCGGTAAACATTGAGTCTCAGGTAGACGATGAGCTGTGGCTGAATTCCCAAAAACCAAACTGAGAACGGGGCCCAGTTGATGTTTTCTGACAGTTTTGCTCGGCAAACGCCTGAACATTGCTGACAGTTTTGCTCGGCAAACGCCTGAACATTGCTTTGAACTGGACACCAAGCGCATGACATGTTCGAGCAGCTGGTGCTAAGAAATAGGAAGCAAAGATACCCCAAAGTGCATGAAAAGGCGTCGTGTAAAACATCTGTGAGTAAACACACGAACAGTACTGGGCAGGACTGGCTGCCTCCAGAAGCAGATGTGCTTTTGGTTTGAGGCGAAAAAGTTGATCATTCTCGAAGAAATCCTCCAAGGAGCCGTTTAGTAGCAAAAACCGTTGCGCGTGCCATCGGAAAGCCTCGACACTCCACGTGTCTGCAGAAAGGTTCACATATACTCCATTCAAAGCCTCGGCCGCCCTCACCATGGTTGCTTCCTGCACTTTGTTCATGTCCAAATTTTTTTTGTGAGCTCGACTGCACAGGGTACCAGGGATCGAGCCTCGCCTGCCTTAGCTCTGACTGAGCATGGGCACTTTCAGCTTGCCCTTCTGCTCCTCACGGAGCATGGAAGGGATCAGCTTTGGGAGCCTGTCCTGGGTCTCGTTCGCATTGTAAAACTGCTCAATGTCTTCGTACAACCTCGCACATCTGAGCAATTTGCTGCTTCCTCTGATTCGCTCTGATTGCAAATAATAAAAGAGGGAGCCCAGAAAGTCGCATGTAATGCCGAGATCGGCAGCATGAAGAAAGTCAACTTTGCAGCACTTGGTTCCAAATCCCGGGGATGAAAAGAGTCTGGAGATCATTTTCCCTTGCTGACGCTGCCGCAGAAAGAAGTCCATACTAGAAATGAGTGGGTACCTCGGATCGAGTTAACTCAGCGCCATCTAACGTCATAATGCGTTTATATAGTAGCCCAAAAGCACACAGAACGAAAACAATGCTGCAAGTTGCCTTTCCCAATCCTGGTCTTGGAACTTCTTCATGTCCTGCTTGGTGCAATTGCATCTCCAGCAAATGAAGTCCTTGCTGGACCAGGAAGGAAAGTCCAGCACTTCCTTGTAAGCACTCCAGTCTGCCCTGAGCTCTGCCAAGCAACCCTTGACCCCGATAACTTGTCCCCTTCTTTTTTTCCGGTACGAGTCTCGGAACTGGGACCCATCGTGGGCAGTTTCCGGAAAGATTCCCAAAGCCAAAGCTTTCATGCTCCAGACCACCACATCGAAAATGTCTTCGGTGGTTCTTTTCTTTGCTTGAAAATCTTTCGGATTTATTTTCCAAACAAAAATGTTTCAAATGTATGAAAACATTTCCTGGCCAAAAATACAGGACAATCCATCGATGCCATGCTTGTTCATTTGTGTCCCATGCACAGCGATGCAATTCACATGCACAGACTGCAATGACGTGCACCCTCACGCTAACAAGACTGAAGCTTATGCATTGGTATCTTTTCCAAGGAAGGGGATTTGCCATGTCTGCTTCCATCCGAGATCTGTCCTCTGCAGGTGTGTGAGAAACGAAAGCTCCCTGCTTCCATCCGAGATCTGTCCTCTGCAGGTGTGTGAGAAACCAAATCTCCCTGTGAAACACTACACAAATCGCTCAGAGCGGAGTTCTCTACTGAACTCAGAGGTTCCGCCTAAGTGAGCGGCCTGTCAATGGTTGAGCTGAACAACGAAGTGCACACACGTTCCAAGGTGCACCGGCAGATCGCTGAGGTTCGTGCTGAAAGGCACATGACGACCCTGCATTTCCAAGCGAAAAGTGGAAGTACGTAAGTCATGCCCAGAGCGATGCCACACATCGTCAGCAACCGCAAACTTGACGTCGTCAACTGTTCCTGTGGTCGCCACTCTACACAGTACAACATCCACAACCGGCACATTGGTTACCATCACTGCCAGCCATTGGATCCTGGATTCTCTGTTCGTGTCTTCATCAAGACCCGCTGTTCCGGCATCACGTTTCATCCCAACTGCCAAATGTAAGGCTTTGTTGGAGTGGGTGGGTGGGCAGAAAAATTTTCCCCCGACCCTCTCCACGAGGGTTGTGACTGAGAGGGCTGTGGCCTCTCTTCGTCTGAGCCGAAAAACTTTCTCATTCGGAGAATTCGAAAATTTTTCTCCGGAAAATAAAGGTTTGTACTTGCAGCACGATTACCTTATTTTCCAAACAAAAATGTTTCAAATGTATGAAAACATTTCCTGGCCAAAAATACAGGACAATCCATCGATGCCATGCTTGTTCATTTGTGTCCCATGCACAGCGATGCAAGTCACATGCACAGACTGCAATGACGTGCACCCTCACGCTAACAAGACTGAAGCGTGAGCATTGGTATCTTTTCCAAGGAAGGGGATTTGCCATGTCTGCTTCCATCCGAGATCTGTCCTCTGCAGGTGTGTGAGAAACGAAAGCTCCCTCTCTTGGTCGGGGAGAATGCAAGTCCCTTCCTTGGTCATGGGAGTGTCAGGCACAGCGCCCGACGAGCGAGTTCACCAGCTTGGCCATCTCCGCGAGAAGCACCTGATCTTGGAACCTGCAATTGTGTGGCAACCCTGTAAAGTCAAGGCGGGATGGGGCATCCGCCACGTTGGATTTGCTCGGTACCCGAGCGTAGAACGGAATCATCTCGAGCTCCTGTTCCAACAATGCGCAAGCATTGCTCAAGAGGGTCAAAGCCTCTGAATCGCTGGTCAGCTTGAGGAGCGTTATGCGCGCCGCTTCATTGTCTAAGTAGCACATCACGTGTTTTCCCCGGAGAAATTCTCGGGCTAGAATGAAGAGCAGGAGAACAGCTATGCTCTCGAGCTCGTTGATGACTTTGGACTTTCCTTGCAGGAGTTTCTCAGCAAGGTCATGCGGCAACACAATGCCAAACCAGCACAGGATTTGCCCCTCCTGATTAAACAGGACTGCTCCCAGACCCATTTCGAGGCCTTGGAGTCCTTCTTGCGAGGCGTCCGTAAAAGCATACACCGTCTCTGAGGTCTGGGCTCGCACCGTCCTCGGCGACGCTTCGGCTATGTAATGTCGTAGCCCCTGCAGTGCTGCGCAAAGGGAGGCTTGGTTCTGTCTCCTGACATATGCGGGGGCATTGATGATGTCAGAGATTCTTCTCATGAAGCCCTTCGGCAAGCGCCCAGAGAGTCGGCCCGCCACAAAGTGCAGCCTTCCCCTCATTGGATTCCAGGTCTTAGGGCTTGAGGCTCCTTGCTCCTGAAAGGCTGCCAGGTCTTCAATGAGACTTTTGGTCCGTTCTGCTGTGTTCTGGATCCTAAAAATCTGCTTGCTGCTGTCTGTAAGGTCCAATTCGACCCCCAAAGATCTGAAGACCTCTTGGAACGGCGGAGCCTTGTCTCCGTCTCTGTCAAACTCAAAGCCGAGCAAGTCTGGCAGAAAACATGCACTGGCCTCTGCGCTAGGGGCCAGCTGTCGTGTGGACAACAGCGTGAAGTCATCGTAAAACGAGCTCCAAGGCAAGTGCCAAAACGTGTTTCCTATATGACAAATAGCCAAGCTGACCCTGATGAACGCGTGGACCGCCGCCACGGCTCCAAATGGAAGGCAAAGAAGCCTGAAGAAGCGAACCTCCCCCGAGCTGGGGTCCTTGACAGCCACATAGGCCATGTTGAGTGCCTCTTCGGACAGTGGCAGCTGCCTATATGCTGATTTCAGGTCAATGGTTTTCCCAAGCAGTCCTTGTCCTGCGTGCCTCAGGAACAAGATGGCTGAGGCTGCAATTGTCTCGACATCATGCAACTCGATCTTCCCCATACTCCCAAATGCCTCGTTGATGTGGCTCTGGGACAGGTCGTCGACCTCACCTTGCTCCCTTGCTGGATTGCAAAACGTTTGCTGATTACAGCTCCTTGTGGCAGGTCCTGTTCTCGGAACGGTCCTGCCGACCAGCCTTTCGATACTTCATCGAGACTTTTCTGCCACAGTTCTTCCAGAAACTGAGATGAGTCCTCAACTTCCTTGATGACCTGGTGGTTGGTCTCCTGCGTCAATTGGGACAGGTCCTTCAGGGAAAGGAATGCTGGACGAAAGTCGGTGGACCAGCCTGCCGGGAGGTCCAAATGCCCTACAAGATCGAAACCCTGTGCCAGGTCGTCTGCCACTGCCTTGTCGGCGTAGTGGGACGCTTCTAGCATCTCCTTGAAGAGCAGTATTCTCTTGTTGCGGAGGCTGCCGCGGATGTGCTCGGGCAGCTTGGCTTTGAAGTCGTTTTCGGCTAGCTGCAGCTCCTGGGCTCGCTGGAGCCATCTTCGTGACTGCGCGGCTCGAGTCTCAATCACCTTGGCTGCGGGCTGTTTAGAGCACGCCAAAATTGCCTTCCTGAGGGCGGGTGGCACCCCGAGGCACAGGTGTCGGGGGTGGCCGGCCAGTCGGGCTTTCGCCACAAATTCCTGTGGGTTCCACGGGACCTCCACCAGAACGTCCGTCGCAGAAGACAGTAGGGGCGTCACTCTCAACGCCGGGGCTCCTGGCGCCTTGCGGAGTTGGCCGGGCACTGTCCATCTGGTTCGTCGGCAGAATTCGGGGATGACCTGAAAAGATGCAGCCTTTTTGGTCTTCGTGTCGTTACCACCCTGGCTCCTGAGGAGTTTGCGGGATCTCCCTCCAAGAGATTACGGCCATCCCGACAACCCTTCTGTGTCAGATGCTGCAACAGCAGGGAAACGAAGTGCTTACAAAACTGGTGCGGGTACGCGGTCTCAAGCTTTGTTGCGAGAACTCCCTCACGCACGTCCCAGGGTAGATGCTCGTGGGATCCATCACACGTGACAGCCAGGCCTGTGATGAGGTCGTTGTTACACAGCAAGGCCGTCCGCTTTAATCTCGAACCTCCCATCATGCAAAAGTCGCACTGGACCACGATCGCCTGTTCACTCCTCAGGATGTGTTCAATGGCGCTGCAATGCCAGAAGAAACTGCGATAGGGGTTCTCTATGATTGCCACAATGCCTTTTCGCAGCAGAAGTCCCAGATTCGGGCCGTGAGCCGGTAAAGCTCGTTAGCCTTTGCCACCCTTTCTGCATCACTTGGGCCAAGGCCTGGAAGCCCTTCCGGGTACTCCACTGACCTCAAGGGATGCGGCTCGTCCTCCCACGGAAGCGGGATTTCCTTGGCCCTGCTGGATGTGCCGCAGGGCGGCGCCAGCCATACGGCTGCCAGTCCTGGGGAGCCCAGCCATTTCCACAGCAGACCTTGGTGCGACAGCAGGAGCAAGTCCAGCTGTATTATCTTGCCCTTGCGCCTCGCCATGCGAACGTTATCCACTCCGACCGACCGCCTGAGGCCGGCTGAAGCAGCCGCCGAGGTAATCCCGGCTGACCCTGCGAAAATCTCCAAAACCCAACACTCCTGTATGGTCTGGGGCGCAGTACGTTGCGCTTGTCCAGACCTCTGCGCGCCAGAATGACTCGCCTGAGGTGGAAATGCGGAGGCCTCAGAGGAAAGCTTGGAAAACTGTGGGATTGGCTCAGCCGCCCGTTGGAGCGGGGGCTGATTCTCTTGCCCTTTTGCAACAGCAGCAGGATGCAACTCCTTGCAGCTCTCTTTGGGCCTGTCCGCCTCAGAAGCGGGAAAATTGTCTTGTTCACAAAAATGGGCAGAACTATCTCCACCCTCCCCCATGGCTGTTGCCGCTCTCTCCGCGCACGCTTGTGCGCGACGCGCGGTCGGAGCAGCGCGGGACGCCTGGTCCAGCGCGGAAGCGCTGTCATTCGACGTCCCTTGCAACGGGGCGTTCTTTCAGGCTGCCTGGCCTGAGCCCTTGTGCTCAGAAAAGGGATGCTTCCGGAAGCAACCTGGGTGACAACATACATGTCTGCCCCGTGCGCATCTGCCCCCAACGGAGCATCCTTGCACTGTCCTAGGTTGAAGCCAAAACAAAGAGGATCTCCATGCTCGTCGTTCGGCACGCCGCCTCGCAAGGCGGCCGGCATGGGGGTCTCACCCTTGCCTCCTTGCAAGACGAGGGACTTATTCGGAAAGCCGCCCTTGCCACTGTCGAATTTGCCCTTCGTGGGGAGGCGGGCTCCCTTGAAACCTGATTTGCCTCCCTGGCCCTTGTCCCCTTTGTCGGTCCTCTGATATTTCCATTGCCCATACCCCTTTCCATCGCCCCAACGCTTGGGGCCCTTGCCCGCGCCTTTGCCTCCTTTATCTGTGAACCCTTCCGCACCTGTTTTGCGGGCTAGCGTTGTAGAGTGAAGTTTCAGGGGCACAAATCTGAAACTCAAATCTATCCATCTGAATAAATAGAACATCCAAGAATAAGTGATCTCAAGAGACCCCTTTTTAAAATTCCAAATCCAAGGAATCCCCCGGGAAGAGAACCTCAGCCCGGCTCCCAACGCAAGACCCCAGAGAAATCAAATCCCCAGAAACATCCAGAAACCTCCCACACCCCGAGGCGGTGAATCTCTACTGATCTCTCTTTTTCAACAAGTGGCGGATTTGTCTCAACCGGCGGGCTCGGTCATCGAACGCACGCTGTGTGCGCCAATGCCCCCCTATCCACCCTTGCGGTGGACGTCACCACGGCGTGCGCTCGTGTGGCCGTTTCTTCGACAGTGACTGAGACGCACCTTGCTGACTTGTGGAATGTCTGAGAGCATCAAACTGCGACTTCGTCTCCCAAAGCTTGCTGAGCAACTCAAGAGGAAGGTCACTGAATGAGCTGAAACATCTGAATTCGGGATTGAAGGAGCTGAATCTGGAGTTGGTGAGATCATCCGCAAGTTGATTTTCACCCCGCGGACGCCAGTTAAGAGCTAGCCTGATTTTAGATAGGGCGAGCAAATGTGACAGCTGCATGTTTATGAGCATGAGCGGCCACTTCGTTGCGCTTTGCTTCTTGGACAAAGACTCGTTGCCCTTGTTGTCAGTGACAGCACTAAAAACGACTGGGAGCTGCCGTACCCTGGTGGATTCTCCCAAATGTCCGAACAAGTATAACGCAGCTAAAGTTGCCAAGAGCTCCGCAGATGCCGATGCCCACTGTGACTTCTGCTCCTCGTCGAACAAGTAAGGTGCCTCGTGCGGTCGCACCTTAATCGAGAACCACCGTGACCTGCCCAAGGGACATGTTGCATCCCAGCCCCCAAGCACAACCAGGCCATCTTTGCATTTTGCATCGGTGAAGAAAAGAGGCTTGTCGCTTAGGTCCACCCTGGAAGGGGACACTTTGTAGTCTTTGGCTACGAGAGCTTCCTCGATGTAGAGAAGAGTCAAGATCACCGTGTCAGGAAGCTTCCCGACCGAGCATCGATGTGTGGCCGATGACCAGGCATAAAGGGGTGCCAAGTGCGGTTTCAACCAGTAAACCACCCTCGACACGAACCCCAATCTACCTAAGAACTCGGCGAACTTCTTAGTCTGAACCACGTATTTCGACTCCCTGGCACTTTTAATCCACTGGACCAGCCAATCTCCTCGCACTTTGCTGAGCCCCACCAGTCGGGCCGCGTAGTCCAGCTCATAGTCAATGAAGGCGATCCTGGCTCCGCCTTTAAACTTTTTCCAGGCAAAAGGTGTTCCTGCCATAAGATAAAGTACCAGCCAGATCAGAGCGTTGACTTATCGCTTGTGCCAAAATGGTTTGAACCCAAAAGCACAGTCCGAAACAGAGGACACCAGCAAAGCCCACACCCTTGCAGTTCCGAGCCTCCCTTCTTTTTCATCAGTGGGCGAATCAAGGATCATTATTGAAAGGTCGATGCACATTGTGTCAGTGCATACGCCTAGCAGAAGGCACACACATCCCTAACTGCAAAACACCTCAAAGCCCCCTGCACAGGGCGTCGTCACTAACTACAAAACACTGCAAAGCCCCCTTTGAGGGCGAGGAAACTGTACAACTCTAGCCAGGATGGCATGCAGGGAGTTGCGGCCGCCGTAGCGGGCCCTGCCTTTGAGCATTGGGAGGGGAGGGCGGGAGCCCACGGCGCCAAACACGCGAGGCCGCCCAAGGGCGGAGGACGCGGGTTCACAGTGCGAACACAGGCTATGGCCGTGCAGGCAGGGAGTTGCGGCCGCCGGAGCGGGCCCTGCACCGTATGCCCAGGGTGGGCCGGGTGGGACAAATTTTCGCACGGTGCAATGAGCCAGTGCTGCACTTCAAGGAACACACATAAAGCAACATTACCCGTAATGTTGCATTCACAGATCATGGCACGTTGCTCGCCAAGGCACATCACAACACGCTGCAGATAGTCACTACAACTTTGCATTCGCAGACCATGGAGACATGCAGACCATGCAACAGGTAAGTGTTGGGCATGTGAAATTCAAGGCATCAAAATAACTTTTGGCTTCAAACAGCGAACAAACGGCATACCGTATTTTCACAAGGCATTATTGGAAGCAAGCGATAAAACACAATTCGCTCGCGAACAGTAAGCTTATCGCTTGTGCCAAAATGGTTTGAACCCAAAAGCACAGTCCGAAACAGAGGACACCAGCAAAGCCCACACCCTTGCAGTTCCGAGCCTCCCTTCTTTTTCATCAGTGGGCGAATCAAGGATCATTATTGAAAGGTCGATGCACATTGTGTCAGTGCATACGCCTAGCAGAAGGCACACACATCCCTAACTGCAAAACACCTCAAAGCCCCCTGCACAGGGCGTCGTCACTAACTACAAAACACTGCAAAGCCCCCTTTGAGGGCGAGGAAACTGTACAACTCTAGCCAGGATGGCATGCAGGGAGTTGCGGCCGCCGTAGCGGGCCCTGCCTTTGAGCATTGGGAGGGGAGGGCGGGAGCCCACGGCGCCAAACACGCGAGGCCGCCCAAGGGCGGAGGACGCGGGTTCACAGTGCGAACACAGGCTATGGCCGTGCAGGCAGGGAGTTGCGGCCGCCGGAGCGGGCCCTGCACCGTATGCCCAGGGTGGGCCGGGTGGGACAAATTTTCGCACGGTGCAATGAGCCAGTGCTGCACTTCAAGGAACACACATAAAGCAACATTACCCGTAATGTTGCATTCACAGATCATGGCACGTTGCTCGCCAAGGCACATCACAACACGCTGCAGATAGTCACTACAACTTTGCATTCGCAGACCATGGAGACATGCAGACCATGCAACAGGTAAGTGTTGGGCATGTGAAATTCAAGGCATCAAAATAACTTTTGGCTTCAAACAGCGAACAAACGGCATACCGTATTTTCACAAGGCATTATTGGAAGCAAGCGATAAAACACAATTCGCTCGCGAACAGTAAGCTTATCGCTTGTGCCAAAATGGTTTGAACCCAAAAGCACAGTCCGAAACAGAGGACACCAGCAAAGCCCACACCCTTGCAGTTCCGAGCCTCCCTTCTTTTTCATCAGTGGGCGAATCAAGGATCATTATTGAAAGGTCGATGCACATTGTGTCAGTGCATACGCCTAGCAGAAGGCACACACATCCCTAACTGCAAAACACCTCAAAGCCCCCTTTTAACCGAACGATTATGGTGGACACCGTCGAGAGCAAGGCAGCTTGGAGCCCAGACCCAAGACATTCGCTACCCCAAACAGTGAGTTACGAGTCTTTGAGACAGCCACGCTGTTCCGCCTCTAAGGCACTTGTCTCGACTGAACGGGTGCACCAGGCTAGAGGCACGGCCTCGCAAGCACCCTGGGTTGAACCTCCTTGCAGGTGTGGCCTTAGGACCGAGCCAATGCAGTGCACACAGACCTTAGCCACGCAAGGTCACAACGGGTAGTTGCGCGACCACCCGGCGTTGAACACGGGGGGTGGGGAAGCACAGCTGTGTTTCCTCCCCCCATCCCCTATGTTAAGGTCCCGAGCATCGCAGCTGGGCACAACCTCAGTTCATCGGGGAGGTCTCCACGCATTGGTGCGGAGAAGGGCAAAGTCCAAGTCGTACTCAAGGCTTTCCGTGCCACGACACCGTTAGGAACCAGGCCAGGGTGCCCTCAATGTTCACTCTTTATGCCGGAGGCTCACACCCCAAGGGCAGCCAGGTACTGTCGTTACAGCAGGTAACCAAGAATACGGACGTTGCCCTGCCCGCCCATCATGGGACGTGCGGGTCACAAGGCAGCACCTTTAAGATGAGACCACCGTGCTCATTCAAGATTGGGACCAGGATTGCCCTTTCATAGGCGAGGACTTGTCAATGCACCCCGGACCCCACTGCGTGCTCCGGAGACATTCATGCTGCCAGCGTCCTTATCCGCATCACTAAAGGTTAGTATATCTGCATTGCGCGGGCCGCAAGACTCATGGTACACCTTTCGGAACCCACCTTTGAGCTCTGGTGCCCTGCTCGACCCCAAAACCGACAGGTTTCGCCCATTCACATCCAGGGCGAGACGAAGGTCATCCGGGAACATGTCATTGCCTGTCAAAAATCCTGACGCACGCAGGAGCTTTATCGAGGGCCATGCCTTTGCATCACTGGGAGTTGCATCTTGATCGGCCTCTTGACTCGGAGCAGGAGAGATGGTGGGACCACTGCGCTGATTGGCCAAGCAATTTCCGCAAATGTCAAAGTCGCAGACCCTGCACCCCCAAAGCAAGCGTCGTGTGGCGAACTCCCTTTTGCACACACTGCACCACCAATTTGGTTCAGGCGACCCAAAGGAAAGCAACGGATGACCCGAGGGACACGTGGGCCGGGCATCAAGTCTGGCCAGAAAGGCCTCTGCATTCTCCGGTGTGAGCGTGACGCCCTCGCCAGATGAAGCGGAGTCACTTGAGCGGCTGACGCCTTCGGGTTCAAGCCTCTTCCGCTTAGGGGTTGGCGGACGAGGAGGCAGTGGCCGACCACCAGGCAGTAGGGCTTCAGATGTGCCGCGCACGCTTTCCAGAACCGAGGCCTTATCTTCCTCATCACAAGGAGAAGTTGTGGCTCGCTTGGGGAAGCATTCAGTCCTCCGGGGAATGGAGCCTGGACCGGTAAAGACAGGCCGCGAACTTATGGGGGTTACCACGCGCTGCGTTCCATGCGTTGGCACCTTCCTGGGTAAATCAAGGACACCTGCTGACCCCGTGAAAACCCGCCTTGGTCCTGGTCGGACCTCGTCACCCATGGCGCCAGTGGGCACACCTTGAACAGAAGTCCCCGACACAGCTGGACCTTTGTGTGACGAACACTTTGTGCTGAGCCCACTGGCCCTGGAAAAGTGAGGGGCGAGCGCGCGGTTGGTACCGGCAGGGGCTTCAAGCAGCGGGCAAGTAGTCTGCTTTGCGGACGCAACAGGACCACAAGGGGGATGGCCTATGGGCTCAGGGCTGGCCCTACCAGTATTTGATACAGCAATTTTGGCTTCAGCCCCAATTTCATGGGTCCGAGGACTGCGGGGAGCAGGAACTGGCCTACCATGGGCATCTTGACTCATATTGAAGAGCAGCTGTACCTCGGGATACGGCACACTCACAGTTTCAGCATCCGAACTACTAGGCGTAGGGCTAACCTCCTTCCGCAGGTGATCCTGTTGTCTGGCGACATACACAGGTGGGACGCGTCGGCCATCAAGTTCAGGGTCAACTCCATGGAGCGCCCCATCCTTCGCAGGCATCGAGCTTGAGGAAGCTTCTGAGACACCAGGACAGAAGGGTGGTGCATCTCTCACGCCGCCAGTATGAAACGCCGCGTACCCAAGCTCTTCCACTGGCTCAAGGCATGAAGTCACTGCGTGGTTAGAACGGGGCACGCATGGTTGGGCATGTTGAGGTGCTTTCAGCTCATCGGGCCTGGATGGCCGTTCGACGGGTCCGGCAAGAAAACTCGAGTCATCAGCTTCAACCAGACGGGCCCCGACACGCTCAGGTGCACTATGTCTCGTCTCACAAGAGAGCTCGGCTTCCCCAGACGAAACAGCCCCAACAGCTTCGGTCGCACGCACTGCATCCCTATGCTGAACGGAAGGAACAGACCCCATGCGCACATTATCATTTAAAAATTGGCCATCAGGTTTCTCATGCACCAAATCTTCGGCTTCACTCCCACGTAGCGTTGCACCAGACTGTGCTGCAAGGGAGGGGCTAACATGGACATGAGACCTTGCTGGACTATTAACAGGCGCACAAAGCCCAGATCCCGAGGCCGTGGATTGGCCATCAGGTTTCTCAAACCCCAAATCAACGGGATCACTCCCACGTAGCGTATCAAGAGACTGTGATGATTGGACAATGTCCAGCTCATATCTCACAGCTTCTGAGGTTTGGGTGCCAGGCTTACTGTCGGCCGGCTCATCTCCCTTAGCTGTGGATTGTTCCCCCCTGTTGACCGCAGGAGACGGCCCTGGGAGATCTTTTCGGAAGCGCTTGACCACACACACAGGGGCGACACCAGGGGGTATCGGGGCGTCGGGCGGCGCTGCGGGGACAGGGGCCTTGGGAGACGCCATTCACCTGTCGTAGACTGCCAGGTACCAAGCAATGACACAGCGCGCGCACCAATGGTGGTTGTGGTTGATGCGGTACCGGATACAACCGTTACGGCCACACTGTTGACAGACTTGCTGACAGGCCGGGATGGCAGGGTCCTGCTCGACAAGCGGCTCTTGCGCTGCGCGGCGACTGCACGTGGAGCCCATGGAAGGCTAACAGAGGCTGATGGCCAACAGAAGGAAAGCCACACCCAGGCAGAAGCCGGAACAAAAGCACACGCAGGGGTTATTGGCAGGAACCGCTGGGCCAAAAGAGCCCAAATGCACAGGCGACTTGATCGCCGCTTGCCCGCGGAGGCGAGCTCCCATCCGCTGCCTGCTTCACGCAGGCAGCTTGCACAGGGCCTAAGGCCAAGGTTGGAGGCAGGGCCTGTTGAAGTGGTACCTGTTAGAGCCCGGACCCCAGTTCACACACACAAATTTACAAATTTTCGCACGGTGCAATGAGCCAGTGCTGCACTTCAAGGAACACACATAAAGCAACATTACCCGTAATGTTGCATTCACAGATCATGGCACGTTGCTCGCCAAGGCACATCACAACACGCTGCAGATAGTCACTACAACTTTGCATTCGCAGACCATGGAGACATGCAGACCATGCAACAGGTAAGTGTTGGGCATGTGAAATTCAAGGCATCAAAATAACTTTTGGCTTCAAACAGCGAACAAACGGCATACCGTATTTTCACAAGGCATTATTGGAAGCAAGCGATAAAACACAATTCGCTCGCGAACAGTAAGCATACTTCCGGTGTCCAAAGAAATTGGCGTGTAAGTCGTCTACGAAAACCAGTTGAAAGAAGAAGTGGTTGAGCATGGCCCGCCCAACCATCCTACCTATAATGCCGAAAAGGCGGGCCCACCAGAATGAGGCAGATGAGATCCCAAACGTTCCAACTCGGTTCACGAAGACGGTGTCGCTCCCAGCCTCTGCACGGCATGCCAGGAGTCCCCAGTCTCTTTCGCGCACCAGCACCAAGCGGTGGGCGGCGGCCACGTCCCCCGCCAAAGCAAAGGGTGTCTCAAATTGCTCCTGAGATTGTCTGACTAGGAGGGCTAGCTCTCCAGGACCCGGAACTGAAAGAAGGTTGTGAGGTATGGCCTGATTCACGTGTACTCCGTGGGTACCGTCATGAACCGGCCTCACGGATCCATCAGGTTTCTGGATTGCACCCATGGAGGCTACGCGTAGATTCTCCTCACCATAGCGCTGCTTCAACGCCCCATGCGTCGAAGCTTCCATCCGACCGAGCTCCACTTCCTCCCGGAACTTCTCTAGCAGCTGCTGCGAGTTCAAGGAAGCACTGGCGTAGTTGGAGCGGTCCCATTCCGGGAGATCCTCATCGAACTTCCTCCACTTCGCTTTAGGCTCGAAGACTTGGGGCAACCTGGGCAGCGCCTCGCCAAAACCTATGGGTACCCCAGTGCAGAAGTTGTCCGTGCCCTCGGTTATGGAGGCCCAGTCGGGGTCGCCCATCAGCTCTGCAGTCCGGGCCACCGCTTTCAAGAGAAAGGGCTGTCCTTTGGGAATCTCCATGCAATGCTTCCAGTCATCTCCACCGACTCGCCGGCACCACTTTTCTCGCAGCTGCTGCATCTCCTCATCACAGAAAGGTGTCTCTGTGACTTCTCCAGCGGCCAGTTTTTCGCAAAGCTCTTTTGGAGAGCTGACATTTCGCCCCACGAACTCCATGCACATCTGGCATATCTCGGCAGAGCGCCATGCTTGACGGAGAAAGAGTGGCCCCCCTATCCGCCGGTCGCCAGCGTGTAGGTGAGCACAAACCGAAACCGTCATTGAGTGGCTCCTGCTTGCCCTCCCACTCTGCTTGTAGTGGAAGTCCACGGTTCCCGCATAGCTCGGGCTTGAAGGCTGGTTCAGCTCCCGGTGGCGCGCTACCATGGGGCGCTCCAAACTCTAGTTCAATGGCCTCCGAAGTCTCAGCTTCCTGCGCAGGCAACTGAAAGCCTTGCCGCTCCAAAACCTGCTTCTCACCGTCTTTCAGGGTGTCCAAGTGGTCAGTGACGTAAGCCACCACCACCAGGCGTTCGCCCTCCCACGCGCGGGTGAAGTGGAAAGCTTTGTAGGCATCGAAGATGACGGGCCCTTTTGCCACCTCCAGGTCTTTGCCAACCTTGAGACCATCAGGGGTCATCTCTGGCACCGATCCATGACAGTCCTCTACCCAGATCTGGCCCCCCTTGAAAGAGGTGATAGGTGCCACCATGTTCGGAAATGGAGCATTGCGTGAATCTCTGTGCATGGTCGTGCGTATCCCATGGAAAAGAGACACAGCGGAGAAGCTAAACTTTGGGCTGATCTGACAAACATACCGGGTAAGGACCTGTGATGTGCATGGCATACCCTCAGTGCAATGCCTTAAACCGACCAAGCCCCCTTTACAGTATGCCCCCACCGTGAATGAAGAGGCCGACTCCACTTCCTCCCCCACACGCACAGGACGCTCCTTGGGGAGAAGCTGATGTAGTGCTCTCAGCTCGTCTTTCGTCATCAGGCCCTCCTTTGCCAAGAAACGAGCGGCGAAAGCCTCGGCGTCTTCGCTTGGAAGTGGTGTGATAGTCCCGGAAGACATGGACACTTGCCCAGCAAGTGGGGTCGGGGAACTTCCTATCGATGACCCAGAAGAAGCCCTAAACCCTGAGGCAGAGGGGGCCACGGCGTCCCTGCCCTGAGCTGTTGCTGCACGGGGCGCAAGTGACCTGGACCCAGAGGCGGTACTAAACCCTAAGTCTAAAGGGGTTAGAGTGTCCCGGCCCTGAGCTGTTGCTTCAGGGGTTGCAGGGGACTTGCACTTAGGGGAAGGTGTTAGAGCGTCCCTGCCCTGAGCTGTTGCTTCAGGGGGTGCAGGGGACGTGCACTCAGGGGAAGGTGTGATAGTAGCCAGCGAGGTGTGAACCCCGTCAGAGCCTGGGCTCTGCGAGCTGGCTATTGCCTCAGCCAGGAACTGACAAAGTTTCGGAGGGTAAGCTGCGGAGGCTGCTGTTCGCCACTGGCGGCTGACGGGATCCTTACCCACCAAGGAATCATGACGACCATGTGGGCAGGACTTCGGTAAGGGACCGAAGTAGCGATGATGTGAATCCAGACAGGGCAGTGTAGCATGAGGTGGCGGAGCACGCTGAAAGCGTGCGAGATTGCTCAAGAAACGAGTTGGCTTGCTTGTCTGAGCTCCAAACATGCACTGAAAAATTGCAAAGGTGACTGCTTTGAAACGCACTAACAGATCAAGAATCTCGGGCCAAGACCAGATTGAGGAAGGAACGACGCCATCGGCGGCAACCCCCAGATGCTCGGGGTGTTCCCACAGGAAAGCATTGCCCGCCTCCGCGGCTAGTTGTGAAGCTTTAACAAACACTGCTCCTTAGGGGCTTAGGGCCAGGGGTCTTATGACGGGCACGCGAAAAGGTATTGCAAGGTGGACTGGTGATGAAGACAGTATTGGGCCGCTGCACCAAACGGAAAATGTCCTGCCACACAGCATCTTGGGTGAGGTCCTGGCGGGGATCTCGCAAAATGTCAAACTCCATCACGCGGACATCTGGGATCAGTTTCTTCAAACACGCACCGATGTCACATCTGCGCTCGGGCCCCGCGAAAGCGTACACTACGGTCAGCGGTACAGGGCGACCCGCTGATTCTGAAGTCTCGCCCACCGGGCCCCCAACCCTTCAACCCCCTCTTTGCGATTGCATCACGGCTTCATGCTGGTGCGCTGCATGATCTCCGAAGCAGCCGGCCACGCGGCACACGTGAACTCGTGCGCAGGACTTATTCTTGCACCCTTGAGCATTGAAGGCGTAACAGATCTGCTTGCCATCGGGCGTAGTGGAAACAAGCTCTAGACCACCCAGCTTGGATTGAGTCTTGGCGCCGCCTTTAGGTGTCTTGACGCTTTTACCAGGGTGTTTGGGCACTAAAGGAGGAGGCGGTGCCTTTCCATCGCCCTTGCGGTACTTGCGGGGCTGCTCTGCGACATGCAGGGCCAAAGGCGTGGTGAACCAGGTCTCTTTCAAAGATGGGTCCGCCACCACCTGCTCGAGAGCCTCAGCGAGGGTAATGGCATCGTCCACCACTAATTTCATTGCCTCCGTGCGTAGCTTCTGCTCATACGCCAGAACGACACTCCAAGGGGGCCTCCCCGGGAGGGCATCCTTTCCCTGGTGCGACGGTAACCGCAAGCCAGTACTCGACGAACTTGGTGAAAGTTTCGAGCTTCAGCCCCTGTAGCCATGATTTGGCCTTGAAGCGGGCTGACATACAGAGCCAAGCGTAGGCCTCGACCTTCATGACCCTACGGTAGGCCTCAGAATTGTGTGGCATCTCCAGCTTCTGTATCGTCTTGGTGACACGAAGATGACCGCTGGAATCCACAGTGGACTGCAGCGACTCCACCTGTTTGTCTTTCTTGGAGCTGATCTGATCTAGCGAGGAAGCAGTCGGCTCGTTTTCCTCGCACTCCTCGGCCTTGGATGCTAGATACTCTGCACTGGGCGTCTCCGCCTCATTCAGCTTGCCATACACGGTGGTGACTGCACGAAGCATAGCCTGTCGCTCCTGAACTTGGAGAACCTTCTTATGGCCCATGACTTTTGCTTCCGCCTTCAGCTCAACCTCCTTAGCCGAAAACTCTTTGGCCAACTCCCAAGCAGCAACCACCGAGGCGATCTGAGCACGGCCTTCAGCGGAATTGTGGTCAAGGTTGAAGTCACGAGCAGCAGTGCGAGCTTCCGCCCTCGTGTCAGCGATCGCCTGGAAACGCCTGCGGGTGGTATGCACCTGAACCACCTGATACTGCACCCGGAGGGGGGCTGCTGCCTCCTGAAGCACATACTGAAGATCTGAGTCAGCTGTTGCTACCAGCGCCAGCATTTCCGCCTGCGTAGGAGCGGCAGCCATCGTGGATGCTCTGACAGGTCACTGACTGAATCTGAAAAGCGCTTTGCGCGCCTCTGACACGGGCCTTGGGCCCTGAGAAAGCTGAAGTGAGGGCAGCAATTGTCGCCGCGGGCGTTCAATGGCTCTGATGTGTGTCTCTTTCACAACTAACCAAGCACAAGATCTGAAGTTTCTAGCGCAAAACTGCAAAGCGAGGCTCTTGGTATGGAAACAAGACTCCAAGCCAAGCATCCACCATTAGCTAGACATGTACAGCACGCTACCGATCTGAGCCTGGAGCAATCGACCGTGCTCATGACTGCAAATTTCATGATGCGCGCGCGCGCGCGCGCGCGCATCATAGAAATGGTACCTCTATCTGAGTGTGGAAACACGTGCAACGCGCCTCGACTGATTTGCATGGAAGCTCTGAGGTTGCACTGTACACAAGGGTCTTGAAATCCTGAAAAGACACCCTATCAAGAGAGAAAATATCAAGTTCCCACTGAACCCAACAAACCGACCTAAGACGGCCGGTCAGCTGCTAGACTCACTCGACTGGCTTGAAGAGTCCTCGACAGCCTCCTGTCCAGCTTCGCGCCGCAGCCGATGCTTGCAGTCCCGGCAAATGCTATCGATGTCCTCCAGATTGACCTGGTCCACAAAATCCACCGAGGAGCAGTGGTAATGTTTGACATGGCAAGGACCATTGAGGTGCAGCCGACGTAGCCCCGTTTTGGAGCTGGTAGTGATAAAATACTTGGACGCCGAAAACCCCGGAGCTTCCACCAGATCTTCTGCTGAACTGTCCGGATCCTCCAATGCAGGTGTAAAGGCGGGCCACGTCAACCCCAAGTGACGCTGGCCATCGCCGCGACGCAAGATGTCGCGCTGCCTGCGAGCCAAGCTGCCAGACGTGCCCAAGCCGTCCACATAGCTCTTGAGCATCGACAGGGCCTCGTCCTCGTGGTATTGCCCGCCAACACCCTCTAGCAAAGCTCGACACACAGTCTCTTGCACACGGTGTACCACTTCCCTTGATGTTCGAATGTAGTCGCCAGCGCCAGAGAGCCTGCTTATGAGCCAACGCCCAAGGTAATCGATGTCTTCCTTTCGCACACCTATAGCTGCCGCCACGGAAGCCAGAAAGTTTCTAGGTGAGTGTCCAGTGTACATCCTGTAGGCTCCATCAGGAAGTAGGCCTCGATGCTCGTTGAGCCTGTAACTCCCACTGATCCGCTTGGGTGTACCCAATCTGCTAAGGACTGACCTCATGTAAAGAGCCACACCAGAACTGTCAACACCCTTGTTGGTTGGTGCCGTCCAATCCCCATTTGCTTCCAAGACCAGAAAATCACGTGGTTGCTTGTACTTTTCCCACAGCTCAAAGCCAGTCACTAACCAATCCTGTCCTGAAAGTCCAACATCACGCTTCACGAAGATGTATACTTCTTTGCATCGTCTATCAGGACCAGTCGTCTTTGTGCGTCCCAGCTTTGCCTTGAAGCCAGAACCAATGATCTCCATCGTCTCCGGCCGAATGGCTTGAACATCATCGGCCCGCAGCGAGGCATACACCATTAACAATACGACCCAGCCCAAAGCACGTGCATATTCAGGTTCGCTCTCAAGGCAGACATACAGTTCTAGTGCGACAACGATGGCCACAGTAAACAGCGGGGCCTGCTTACGCTCGGGCTGCGCTGCCTCCAGATCTGCAGTGTAGGATGCTAGCTGCGCCAACCAGGTAGGGTCTCGCGAGAGCATCTCGGCTTCCGGCACCCTCCCGGCCTGTTCCAACACAGACAATGCCGCTTGAAAGCTGGGCAAGACTGTTTTCCCACAGTCGTCATTGTATTTCTCATCTGCATACTCCAGCAATGGAACAATGCTTGATGGCCAAACCTTATGATATGACGTCTCCAGCCAACGTGAAAAGGCCCTCCAAGAACGAAACCGATTTCGCAGCGTTTTGCTACGTCTCGTCCCAAAGATGCGCTTCCAGGACCTCCCGTCATCGTTGACAGCATCCAACTGCGCCACCACTGGCAACTTGGCTTGCCGTATCACATCTGCCAGCAGCAATGTGTATTTCTCACGCTCATCACTCTTAGCGGAATCCAGATTTGTCCTTGCTGCTCTGCGTCTGCGCTCCAAACCAGGCAAAAGGGACAGTGGATTCTGTCTAGCCAACTCATCAAATTCCTTGCTGACATCAGTGTGTACACTACACACAGGTAAGGTCTCCCAAAGTCCCTGGAACGACTCTCTCCTCAGACGTTTAACGAGCTGTCCTTGTCTCCCTGCCCAGTCCACAAGAAGTTGAGCACGCTCTCGTCGTCCTTCGGTACTTATGCCTGGCAAGAAAACTTCGATCAGCTCTGCTGCTTCTGCGTCTGTGTCAAAAGCTGCCTCCAACTGCTGTGGAGTAGCGAAAGCTCCTTTCAGCTTTTGCAATTCCTGGCCCTGCAAGGCGGGCCATTCCATTGCTGCGCTAACTATCCTAAGTCCTCTCCAGAGAGGAAAAACGAATCTACTAACTAAAAATTTGGGCCGTCCGACTCAACACAACAAAGCTGAAAACTGAAATCTCATGGAGCTGACAAAATGAAGCGCATGAAAAGGGACAGACTCAAGTCAAGCACAAATACTGACAAAATGGAGAAAACCATTTTTCCCTTTTCAAAACTAAGTGTGGCGCTCAGCGAACCCATCCGATGTTCCCCCCCTAGCTCCCACCCGACTTTCTACCCCTCCAAACAGTTCCACCGGGCGGGGCCCAGCAGTGCGAGGTGTCGGCATGAAGTGAAAATTGACTGCAACCGTGTTGGTGGCTTCCAGGAAGACTTGATCTAAGCACCGGGCGTCCCGCGAGCGGCGCGTTCGCCGCTGCCCTTGTCAGGGTCGGCTGTTTGCTGCCAAGCTCCATCCACAAGGCCCGATCTGCTCGCAGGACCTGCTGCAGCGTCGGACGGTTGAAGCCTGGGGGCGCTGGGGTCTGCAAGGTAGCAAAGGCCTTCTGAAGCCATTTCTCGTGCACCTTGAAACTCAAAACGCCAACGAGGTCGTAGGCCAGACCCCTTCTTTGCAACGCCCTGTAAGTCGCCATGTCTGACCCCAACTGGGCCTCGACTTTAGAGGATTTGTCCTGAACCGAGAGGCCGTCCCCCGAAGCGTCCAACACAAGTTCCTTGGCTGGCTTGCCTTGCGCCAATTCCTGGCGACGCGTGGGGATCTTGCTCGGGTGAAGGTATTTCAGCGACCCTTGCTCTACCTGTGTCGACACAGCATCATAGACTGAAAAGGCGGGCTCCAAGTCATGCTCAATCGAGAGTCCGCCCAGCCTTTGAGCCTGCAATTCCAGGCGCTGGGCTCTCTCAGCTCCTGGCAGCTTACGTAGAACTGAGTCCGGCTGCCGTTCCACGGTGGCCTTCAAGTTTGCCAGACTCATGGTCTGGCACTCGAACAGGAGCCTCTTGACGACCGTCATTTGTGCAAGAGTGGGGTTGTTCTGCCCCAGACTCGTACATAGAGTGGAGACCTCCCTGTCTGTGAGAGGTTGACCCGGTTGAGTGGCGGCATAGGCTGCCATGGACACCGTCTTGACCCCTCCAGCTATGAATTTGTCCAAGAGTTGCTGCTCCATCCCGATCTTGCGAGCATGTTGCTCGAAGAAAGGCTGACTATCCGCTGCGTTTGCCATGTTTAGGGGCCAAAACTGCAAATTGCAAAAGAGAGAGCTGGTACAAAGGGATTGTACTGCACACACACACACACACACACACACACACACACACACACACACACACACACACACACACACACACACACACACACACACACACACACACACACACACACACACACACACACACACACACACACACACACACACAAACCCACACACACACACACACACACACACACACACACACACACACACACACACACACACACACACACACACACACACACACACACACACACACACACACACACACACACACACACACACACACAAACCGGCCAACAACAATGTCACCCCGCTCTTTACTCCTGAAAACAACGGCTGCACTGTAGCCACTTCGCTGAGGGCTTCTCCATTTCTACAAAATTAACGCTGATCCACTTGCCACATTTCAGCGTTGTCTGACCTACTTTGTACAGATGTAGCACGGTAGACTTCTTGCTTTGAATCGCTCTCCAACCCTCCGGCAGGCTCAGGGCCGCAGCTGGTTCCTCCTTTTCTTCCGATGAGGCTCCATCAGAGGTTTCCTCGGAGGACCCTTCTGCTGATGTGGTGGGCGAGATCTCTGCCTCCCCATTGTCATCTGCATCTTGTGTGTCATCCTTATCGAGCACTGTTTCGCAAAGCCCAGAGGTCTCAGTAGTCAGCTTGTCTAATTCCTCACTTTCTTTCGAGCTTCATCCACATTGACAAGAACCTTGGGCTCTGGCCAGTCCAGTGACACCACTGGTCCAGGTGCGAAGATATCCCTGAAAATTCCTTGTTCCCAGGGAAGTTGTCCTGCGGACCTGAGCAACACGATGCTGGTTCGCTACTTGGCCTTCCGACTCGCTGTCAGAAGGCACCTCCGGTGCTCGTAGGTGACCAGCCATCTGGGGCTTGAACCAAAACTGACCCAAAGCGCCCCGATACTCGCATCAAAAGACATGTGAAAGGAAACAAAATCCCTGTTGCGGACATGATGACAAAGCAAAAGTTCACTCACCTTGTCGGTACGGGACACTCTTTTATCGCTGCCGACGAGCTCATATCAAGGCTCAGTGTCTCAGCTCTTGGCTCAAATTGGCCAGGCTACAGATACGGCCCTCAAAACTGCACAGGTGGGACTCAAAAGCAGGTGGTCCCCTGACCGCGCGCTGCCTGCATCACGGCAGGCAGCATTCAGTGCCGGCATGCCCCCCTCCACCTGGGGCGTATTCTCCTGCAGGAGCCCTTCCATCGAGAAGATGACGTCCCTTCCTTTGGCTCTTGCAGCCACCTTGGAGATCGAGGCTTTGATGCCTTCAAAGCCGGAGTCGTTGCAGACCCCTCGGCCGCTGAACCCGTACGACGGGAAGTCGCCCTCCGTGAAGTCTCCCGGGGTTATCTCCCCATACTCGCCCACACCCATGGCTGCCGTCCACGGCAGGCCGTGGGACATTGTCATCGTGTAGCGATGGTTTGCGGGCTCCAGGAAAGATGGGCCGGTCATCTTTGTGCGGAAGCACAGCACTTTCTGCCCCGGCACTGCGAACATGGTCGCATCGAAGTCCCCCTCGATGTCCAGCGGCCTGGAGTTCTGCTTGAACCAGGCGAACAAGCATGCGCAGCGCTCGACAATCGGCTGCGGCACCTCGGCGGGACTTTTGTACTTGGCCATGTACAGCATCAACCGATCGCGGTACTCATCCACCAAGTTTCCGTCAATCAGGCCTCGGGCGTCCTTCCAGGACATGTTCCACCAGCTCCGCAAGTTGCCTTCACGCAGCAATTCTCGGGCGCACTTGGGGCGCGAGGGATCCGCGAGGGCCTTAGCAATCGCCCCTTGCCAGAGCTGACTGTGGAACCCTTCTTCTTCGCGCTCAGCCTTGCGGTTGGCCGCCGCTTGAACTTCCTCCTCCGTCGCCTCCGCGACGTTGAATGCAGCGTCGGGCCTCTCAGGTGGCCCCTGCTGCCGGGCACCAAAAATCCCAGCCATCACTGGGTCGAGAAAAATCTCCGGCTCCTCCTCCTTGGGAGCAGCCCCTTGCTCGTACTGCTGCTTGGCCGGCTTCTGCTCAGGTTTGGGCCACTTGTTCCAGCCTTTAGGCTTGTCCCACTTCTCACGCCGATTCCCACCAGAGCCCTGCCACGAGCTGCTGGAGCCGTAATTCTTGGATTGCCCCCAACCCTTGCCCCATGAAGACTGCTGGCTCTTCCATGGGGTGGACTGTTCTTGCCACCGGGAGGAATCCAGAAGCTGCCTCAACTCCCTTCTGTGCGGGAAGGGATGCCTGGGCCTGTGGGCCCGACGCCACGCCAAAGGCCGCCGTCGGCACTTGACACCAGTGAAAACCTGGCTGCGGAGTTGGCATGCTAGGAATCCCAACAATTGGGGTCCTCGGCTGGGTCTCTGAAAACCTGTCTCGACGCCCCCTTGGGCTACGTGACCTAGACGCCCTTCGGCGCCTGTCTCTGCGTCTTGAGCGACGGCTGTCACTGCTGCTTCTGTTCCTTCTGCGGCCCCTGGAGGCAGGGCCTCGGGAATCACCGCCCGGAAAGAAGGGCCACGGAAACATATGGGCCTTCGCCTCTTTTTCTTTGCCCCTTGGCTTTTGTTTCCTCTCGGAATCTTTGTGACCCCTTTTTCCTTCTCTCTCTTTTTTGTTGAGCCGAGAGAAAAACAAGGAATAAACTCAGATGTCAGCACGTCGTTGCCTTCAATTGTGCAATCAAGTGCTGAGTTGATAGCAGCCTGCACTCCCTCTGTTTTCAAGCTCTCGAAAAGAATCCTCTCATCTCGACTAGACGACTCATCGGTGCCCTTGCACCTCTTGTCGGCCCTTGCCGGTTTTAGCTGTCGTCACGGTCTGAAAGAAGAGGCTGCCCTTGCAGCAACATATTAAGCACACATGATGTGTGCATTGAATGTTGGCCCTTGCCATCTTCAGCTGCCCTTGCAGCAAAACTATTTAAGTTGCCCTTGCAACAAGTCTCAACGAGCTGACCTTTCAGCTGATCTTTCACCACAACTGCCCTAGCAGCTTGATCTCTCTTGAGCTGCCCTTGCAGCATTCTTGGAACTATCCATGCATTATAATTCTCTCCGAAGACTTTCTCACTTCCAAGAGCACCACCTGAAGTGCAGCAGTGTACAGTTGAGAATGTGGTGTGTCTGCAAAAGTCCAAAACAAACTGACATGCTTCACAAACACAAGTCACTCAACCGACTCGCAGAAACAATGCCAATGCAAGCACTGATTGCTCGCACCTTCCGTCCCTTAGCGTCCAGGGCCTGTTGTCAGGGCAGGACGGACGCGCTGCTGAACTCCCTTGCTTGGCCATCGGCTAACGAGGAGGGCACTCCAGGTCCCCACATCAAAATGCCTGGACGGGGCGTCATCTGCACATGTTGAGTCTTGATTCTGCTGCAAGAGAAACGTATAGACAAGGGTACTCTCGCACCCAGGACACAGCTTCCCAAACTTGGTTCCCTGCAGCTCTGATATCTTGACCTGACGTATACAACTCCCGCAAGTGACGAAAACAGCTACCATCTGCAGCAAGTTCTGAAACCTAAGGCACTAGCTCGTCTCCCGGAGTCTCCCTGCACTCCAGCAAGCTTCAAGCGACAGCAATGCACAGCAACCAACGCACTCACAAAGTCTTCAAGCTAGACCTGGAGAAAGGATCCTTAAATTGCGTCCTGGCTCAGACTGCAAAAACGCACACATGCCGCAAGAAAACTGCAAAAACGCACACATGCCCCAAGCAAACTCAAGAGCAGCATGGCAATCGGCTTTCAAAACCAAGCGTAAAGTGTAAGCTCCAAGCGCCATCGACCTTCTGTGAGGCTCCCGCTCCCCCCACCAGGCCGCAGGACGCTAATCCCCCATCACACTTGGCTGAAGGCAGAAAAATTTTCCCCCGACCCTCTCCACGAGGGTTGTGACTGAGAGGGCTGTGGCCTCTCTTCGTCTGAGCCGAAAAACTTTCTCATTCGGAGAATTCGAAAATTGTTCTCCGGAAAATAAAGGTTTGTACTTGCAGCACGATTACCAAACACACAAGGGCAATCGCATGGTCTTGTCGCAGAGCAAGTTGAGAGTCAGAGTTTCCAAGGACTTACTCCTGTCTGAGTTGAAGGGTACACCATCCATCCAGATGCCCATCAAAAGGGTCTCAGCAGGGTGCATTCCCCAAGCTCGCATCCTATCCTGATGCAGCTGCAAATCTGGCCTGTGTTCCAAGGCCGCCTGTTGGGAAGCAATCAGATCTCTGGCCCCGTTCTTCTTCAAAACGCTGTGAATGAGTTCGTGCGGCAAAAGCATCGCGATGGTCTGGGTCTCCGTCTTTTGTGTTTTCGGATTCAAAGTACGAACCTCGAATTCGTAGAGCGGTGGCCATTTCCGGCCAGGTTGGCATTTTCTATCATCCTTGCACTTCGTGCTGCACTGAGATTGTTGTTCAAGAAGATATCCACCACGTCGTGTCGCAATCTCTTCTCCGGCGGTACTTCCTCAATCGCTTCATCCGGCAAAGATCTCTTGTTGAACATGTCGCCGACTCACTCCTGCCAAAGAAGAAAATGTATTCCCAGACTCCCACCAATGAGTCACCCCCAAATGCAACATTATTATAACTCATCCACATGTTCATATCATTTACCCGTGTCTCCAGTTCTCCTGCCAAGGAGAACTGTTACCTCCTCCTACTTATGTCTCCAAGGCGGGTCTTCCAACTTCTGGATTGTGGCTTCTAAAAGCATAACTCGTCCAGGTTGCTTCGAAGCTTGCAACGGTGCGAGTTCAGCTCCTTCAAGTTCTTCTCGAGCCTTGAAAGTCTCGCTGCCTTCAAGTGGTGTAGCTTGGCAGCCGGAGCTAGAGCTCTTCCCCAACAACTCGAGGCTCAACTGATTCCCTTCTTGAAATTGTTGGCCCAGCTCTCAACTTTCTTCTTGTTGGGTCGACCATGCCTATCCAACATGTCTGCTGTGAATGCAGTGTGAGTTCGCTTGGTACACATGGTCATACATCTCGAAAGTCCTGCCTTTGAGGCTCGCAGGGCAAAGCTTTGCTCCCGAGGTCTTTGTCTTGGACACGTGGCCAGAAAAGCTACTTCAAAAGTGCGTGCACGGTCCGATCCTTCAGGTGCTGGAATTCCACTAAGAAGACTTACACATCATGACTGCATGCATAGACATGTATCTGGCCGGTGTTTGCGTAACATCTTAAGTTATTCTACAACTCCGTGCACGATCACGTCCTCGGCTTGAGCTGTTATACCTCTGTCGCCTGTCTTCTCTTAAGTTGTAAAGCTAGAGCAGAGCTGAAGCCACACAGCTACTTGGAACCAAATTGCACAAGCAGGCATGAGATGGCATTACGCACGTGCACAGCACTGGCTTCGCTTTTGCGGTGACTCGTCGCCTCCTGTCTTGTCTGAGACCACATGTCGCCGAGGCGAGGTCAAGTTGCAAAGCCTACACACGGGCCGGGCTGCTGCACAATTACGGTAGGACACATGTCACCAAGAATATACCTTTGTACAGTTCTGGCTGTAGAGTAATTCTTCATTAATACACTGCACAGACATCTAACATGACGACCCGGCCCCGGGGTTTACGAATGCCAAGCTCATGAGGGCCCTTCAGCCTTCGAGGAAGTACATGTTGGCCGCTAGCCGTCCAGCAAGCTCTTCACCTGCCTGATGCATTGGCCTGTCGCCTTCAAGTGAGTGGCACTCTGCTCCAGGATGTGCTTCACCTCATTGAGTCTCTCCGAACAATCTGCTTGCTTGTCATTTGGTAGCCCGGCGGCCAGGGATCCCCGCAACACGTTGAGGAACTCTTCCAGGATCGTTCTGGCCTTGGAGACCTCCTCCAACTTCTTCGTCCAAGACGGGTCTTCCAAGTTCTGGATTGTGGCTTCTAAAAGCATGAACTCGTCCAGGTTGCTTCGAAGCTTGGAACGCTGCGAGTTCAGCTCTTTGAATTTCTTCTCGAGCTCCTTGAAAGTCTCGCTGCTTTCAAGTGGTGTAGCTTGGGTACTGGAGCTAGAGCTCTTCCCCAACAACTCGAGGCTCAACTGATTCCCCTTCTTCAAATTGTTGGCCCAGCTCTCAACTTTCTTATTGTTGGGTCGACCATGCCTAGCCAACATGTCTGCTGTGAATGCAGTGTGAATTCGCTTGGTACACATGGTCATACATCTCGAAAGTCCTGCCTTTGAGGCTCGCAGGGCAAAGCTTTGCTCCCGAGGTCTTTGTCTTGGACACGTGGCCAGAAAAGCTACTTCAAAAGTGCGTGCACGGTCCGATCCTTCAGGTGCTGGAATTCCACTAAGAGGACTTACACATCATGACTGCATGCATAGACATGTATCTGGCCGGTGTTTGCGTAACATCTTAAGTTATTCTACAACTCCGTGCACGATCACGTCCTCGGCTTGAGCTGTTATACCTCTATCGCCTGTCTTCTCCTAACTGCACTTTCTTATTATTTCCCGTCGTTTGGGTGTCCACCAGGCCCTGGCTGTGCTTGAAGAGGCACTTGTTCAAGGTGGCATACTTGGGGTGTTTCTCCACCAACCTCGAGTACTCGAACTTCTTCTCGGCATCGGACAATATCTCCTCGAGTATCTCCTCCTTCTCCACCAACTGGAAGATTCTGCTCCTGCCAAGGAGCAACAATAAGCGTCACATTTTGGATACTGCACGTGTTATTTTCATTCTGAAGCATGCAACAACGAAACATCCTGGTGAGCATGTCCGTCAGGACCGACTCTGTGTTGAGTTCCTTTGTCTCCACGGACTGATGCAAGCTGTGGATCCAGCTGCAATTCTTGACCCCGTACTCTTGCAACTTGCCCAAAATCATTCGCTTCTTCTCCGTGTCGGCCGAGTCCTACTCCTGCCCAGCAACTCACAAAATCAAAACATTAATCAAATCGTGCAACTTCCACAACTTCAAACGCGACGGTCCTCCAGAGTCTTCTGAGCCGACTCCTTGTCCTCCTGGCTAATCTTCTTGGCTGACTTCGCTTGGCACTTGAGGGATGTCAGCAATGCCGAGATCGTGCCTCGTGCAAAGCCGAGTGTGCCGGAAGCTGCAGGGCCTGCAGAGTCATCCACATCCATCTCTGGTTTGTTCTTGGTCCTCGGGGGGGTCTTACTCCCCTCCTGCTTCACTCGCATAGGCTGGAGCCGAGGCTTATGCATCTTGCTCTTGGCAGCCGATGCCTTCACCTTAGCCTTCGCAGCGGTCGCCTTGGGCTTGTTCTGATTCTTCTTAGGCGCCATGACTTCAGCACAACTCCACCTGCGAACTGCCAAAACTCTAAGCTCGAGCAGAACGCCTGGACCCTCGTGTCGTGCTGCTGTTATTTTCCCCTCCATGTATACAGTCGCAAGAACAAACGATGCAGAACTCTGACTTGCACTGCAATGTTTTGGACTCGCTGCTGCTTCGGTAGCAACGACTCAACCGGACATGAATTCTCCTGGCAAGGAACTAATTCTCAATCGATTTGCACATGAAGCGAGCAAGGGCGACACATCAGTCCCACGTACGGTCGGCACGACAGCACACGAGAGCATCACCTCACGGATCCATGCAATTGCTGTCTGCACCTGACAGCATTGCACACCATCTGTAAAGTTTGTAGAAGGACCGACTGCTACCAAAAAAATTTTAACAAGCATTTTTTAACATGTTTTAACACTGTTAAAAAATCGGTTTTCCTTTAAATTTAAAAGGAACACCATTTTTTTACACTGTTAAAAATTATTTTAAAATCAAGCCTGTTAAAAATTCTGCTGCCTCCCAGGGAGTTCACATCTAGGCCGTCCAAGCCCTGACGTCACAGAGTCATCTCGTCTCAAGAAGGCTACCCTCACTATATATCATAAACACAGGTCGCCAAAGCAACTGTGCCCGGCCTGCAAAGCCCAAGCGCTGTCTCCTATCAAGCAGCTCTGGGTGTGGGGTTTGGGCCCTTAGGGTTTCGGGTTTAGGGTTTTGTGTTTAGGGTTTAGGGTTTAGGGTTTAGGTTTCGGATTCAAAGTTCAGACCTTCGCTCGGTGGTTTTGGGGTTAATTGGGGTTTTGGAACCCTGGCTCCACCCGTTTCAACTCTTCATGGCACTGTCAGCCACAGGACAGCCAATACAACAAATGCTCGCGCACGACAGCACTATATGTGTGTGCCTGCTGGTACTCCTGGCGGTCCTCGAGGATGCTGCACCTGCACATGTGCTAACGCTGGTTTGTGACTACGTCTTGCAGAACTCCCACCAAGGAGTGCTCATGCCCTGATGTTTCTACAAGCCCCGAACTCCTACCAAGGAGTTCACTGATCTTCCACTCCAAGCTCTTTGTTTTTCTCTCTTTGCAGGAAGATCCGACTTGTAGCTCGTGGGTGGCCGGACTCACTTCGGCACGCCGCCGTCTCCCTGGTCCCCCTCCCCCTGCTCGCCGTCGCCCCCCTTCTGGTTGGCCCTCTGGTCGGCCTGGAATGCAAACTCTGCTCTTCGCAACGTTGCAAAGCCTGCCCGAAGAGCAATCACTAGCGATTCAGCTGACATGACCATGGCTGTCCATGTCCCGAGTGAATCCAGTGTGTCCTCGGGGGCCTCGTCGTCCTTCTCGTTCTGGTTCTCGGGGTTCTCGGTGTTCTCGGCAGGTGGGCTCGATGCAGCCTTCGGGGCGGCTCCAGCGCCCAAGGTAAGTCGCTCCTGCCCGGGAGCGAGACAAAACTGAAAAAACACTAAATAAACAAAACAGACAAGCACGCAAAGACTCTGGCCGGGCCTGTGAAATCCGGATTGCCTTGTGTGCGACACTGGGCTCACCTCCAATCCACTGCCCATCTTTCTTCAATTGATCCATCTGGGCTTGCAGCCAGACTTTCCTCTTCCCAGGATCTCGAGGAGTCCTAACTTAGCTCTTCCAATTGAGGTTGATTTCTGCCCTTTCCAGGCCGCATCCTTCTTGGGCTCCTTCCGCCACGGGGCATCATATGGAGCTTCCTCATACGCCGCCACAGCTGCAGCTGCGCTGGTGGCCTCACCGGTCTCCTTCCAAGGAGGCTGCTGCTCTTTCCTCCAATCCTTCGCCTTGTCCATGAGGTCGTCCTCCACCTCCATATCCTTGTAGCTGCTGAAGATCTTGTGGGCCTCCGTAGCATGCTCGTCTGCCTCGTCCTGCCGCTCCATTTTTACAGCGACATTGGCCTTTCCCAGCTCTTGCTCGATCGCCTTGTCTTTTTTTGCAGCATGGAATGCCGCGCTCAACTTCTCAAAGTTCGGCACCTCTCCTGGATCCGCTGCTGCCTCCATGTCCTGCAAAAAATGGACCAGCTCCTCATCCGACGAGGGGACCTCCACGATCCTTGCTCCGGATTCCGAGTCGCCCGGCTCCTCACTCGCCTCCTCTCACAGGAGCTCTTTGTGGAGGTGGGTTTGGTAAACGGCATCCTGGAAGCCGCTTGCCCGGCAGTCCTCCAGACGCCAGGTTCGGCTCTTGTCCCTGCCACGCTGCCACAATGCCAAGGACGGCCTCTGGCTCATATAGTACTTTTCACACAGCATATTCGTACAGAGCCCTCTCCTCAAGTACGAGATGGTGCGACACGATGGGCATTTGCGAAGGTCTCGGAGTGCCTGAGGTTCTCCCCCCAGAGGCCGCCATCGCTCAAATTTCTTCTCTATACAGCAGAAACTCCTACCAAGGAGTTACAGACACAACAAACACCCCATGCACGATGCACCATCCTCAACGCCAGCTTCTGCATGGTCTACAGCCATGAAATCGATCCTAAACCAGGCAGCTTGAACGCACGATCGCTCCGCAGCACACGGCAGTTAAGTCCACAAGTTGCAAATCAGCTGTGCCCTGCCCTCTGCTGCAACATGTAAGAAGCGGCAGCGCATGCAGTCTAACTCTGCCGGCCTCCTCCCAAGGAGGCTGCAACGGCCTCCTGCCAAGGAGGCTGCCTTCATCGCACCTGGGCCCACATACACACACCGTTCTTCGCAAGTGCAATTGTTAACATCCTCACGTCCTAACCCGGCAGATCCTGAGCCCCTTAAATTAACCTCAAGCTGCATGAGGAAGTACTTCACATCAGCTACACCCCTGAAACCCAAAGCTGCAAAACATCGAGCCTCGACCGTGGCCTTCGAGCCGCCTCGCTCTGCATGCGCCTGGTAGCAGAGAATTTGGGGTTAAGGGTATATACAGCTATAGCCTTGGTCTGCAAATGTGTCTATGTGTACTCCTGCCAATTGGAGTGCAATATATGTCACGTGTCTAACATGCATGTATCTACACATCTATGGTATATCAGCATCTCACTCGCTCCTGAATTCCGTCCAGACATAAGCTCAGGGCCTGGCCCGCTCCCGACACACAAAACGCGGCAAAAAATGGCTGCAGCATGCATGCTCACAAAAATCAAAACATTCATGCTCATCACAGAAGCTTTTCTCCTGCCCAAGGAGAGTCTACAACAAATCAAAACGTTCATGCTCATCACAAAAATCTCCTACCAAGGATCCCTATGAATTGCATCTGCTTCCTCTTTCTCGCTCCCAGGAGCCCCGCTGCAGGTTCAAAAAGAACACAGTCCTACTCGAGATGTTTAACCTCAGGCTTCCTCAAGAGTTCTCGGCAAGTTTTGAGACAATCGCTCAAACATGCTTGGATGGAATCATACTGGGTCCAGGCATATTGCTCTTTGCAGGCTGCAGGCCTTCTTGATGTAGAACGCTTTGGCACGAACCCCGCCCTCGGGATGGACATCCGGGCTCCTGTCGCTGACTACACGGGGCTGTGCAGCCGAGAAAGATTCTTTGTGTGGAAAGCCCAGCGAAGCGTCTGAAAACGAAATCTGCAGGTGCACCCGCAGACATTTTCGCATGGCCTGCCTTCAGAGGCGAGTGCTGCTCGACCGATGCCTGCTCTGTGGTGGGTGCTGTCCGACTGCATTCCCATCAACGCTGCCCACCCAGCCATGTGCGCATCCCCCATTCGCGACGCGGCCGACAGGGGCACACCTTGGAAGACGACCGTTGGTTGATTCGCCTGGAATCTCCAATCAGAAACAGACGGCTTTGTGGCTCTGTGCAGACTCACATCAGCATGCCCGGCAGCAAGAAACTGTGGAAGTGCCCAGCGAGGGCGGAACCATTAGCTCGTCGCAAGATCAGTCAGAAGAGGCCGAGGATGTCAACGATGTGGAGCTCGATGGCTCGAGTTCAGTTCCAAAGCTGAAGCCGTACTTCGATGCTCACGAGGGTTGCTGCATAGAGGTCCTGCCGGGCGGGACAACCATCAAAGGTAAGCTCAAGGAGGGCCCAGATGGTTTTTGTTTGGTGGTCTTTCCCGGCGAGAAGCCGTTTGAAAGCCAAGTTCCGAACTTGTGGTTGCAGACGTCGGCAGATGCAGATGCTGCAGGTAGCAAATCTCGCCTCAAGCGCCCCAGAGCCAAAGCAAAAGCGAAGGGCAAAAGTAAGGCCAAGCCTGCCCAAGCCAAGAAGAATCATGAGCTGGAGGAAGAGGAAGCCGAGGAAGAGGAAGCCGAGTAGGAAGCTAAGCAGGAACCGGAGCAGAAAGCGGAGCAGCTGGAAGCCGGTGATATGAGCATCAAGTGCAGCTACTTTCCGAGGAGTGCTGCCGCATGACGAGCCGCTCGCAGACCGCCTCGGACCCTGTCGCACTCTGAAGTTTGGACCTGCAATGCCATGTAAACCTCGAGCAATTGCTTTGGCATCTTTCTGACTTATCTCATATGCATCTAGCACGGCATCCTTGATCACTGACTGTCGGCCTTAATGTCTGGTCCGCAATGTCCAAGAGAAGCTTCTCGTAGTTCTTACTGACAGTGTCTTCGTCCTCTCGGAAGGACTTGACATCGAGCTGTGCTCCTTTATATGTATCTGGAAGCACTTTCGCACATCCTTGGAGGTTGCCGTGTTTCTCACACGGCCGGCTGCAACCATCTCTATGGCTGTATATGGTCTACATCTTATGCCTACACGTCACTCTAGCTAGCTTGCTTGCACGCATGTTCTCGGATGATCGACCCAGCGAAAATTTAAGTCTCTTATCTAAACGATTCTCTGCATATCGAGCCCTGCATGAATGGCAATATGTATTCATTGCATGGTCACTGCATGCAGCCATCATATGGCAATGTCATGCATGCACATGCTACGCTGCTACAAATTTGAGTTCTGCCTCATTGCAGAAGCGACACAGACAAGCACTTACGTGAAATCACTGAGAATTACGACCTCCGCAGGCAGCTTTCTTGTGGAAGTGATCAACATGAAAGAAACTTGCACAAACGCTGGGCGTCGACCTTCCCGACATTTCTTCTTCTTTGGGCCGTTGGTCACTTCCCAGAGCTTTGAAGCGTGACTGATTGCCCGCTAAATTTCCTTGACGTGTGGCACCTTCTGGAAGCGAACTTGCCACGCTCTCACCTTCCAGCTGCACAAGAAAAAAGAGAACTAAGAAGACCTCACGCGCTTGGAACCCAACTCGTCAATGTAGTTTCTGATCCGTCATTGTCGACATTCCAAGATTTAGCGGTGTAAGCCAACTTGACTGCTGCATCGGAAGAAGTTTAAACCGAGGCACGCATGCAATGCCCCACGGAATTTGTCCATAACAGCTAGGGGGTCTTCTCTAACAGCCACAGCCGACTTAGCATGGTAATCAGCTTAGAGTGCCCGCCAAAAGGTGCGTTATTTGCAAAATGCTTCCTGGCTTAGCATCGATCAAGTCGAAACAGACATGCAACGTAGAAGCACGCACCGTAACCAAGCTACCTCCAAAGCGGCAAATCAGTCAGTCTTGGAAAGAAACGCATTACAAACGCCATGCAGCACGCCGCAGGCTGCAAGAAAGCGCGGACTGTCCATCTCTCCCTGCAGAAAAAAGAAGACAGGAATGACCAGTACAAACTTTTCTCAGTCTTATAAATAGGCGATTGCCCCTGCAACCATCTGGCAGCATGATTATAATCTCTTTTTTTCGATCAACTTCGCATGCAGCAAAGTCGGAGGCCCGGCAGGTCACAAAACACAGACGCCAAAGGTGGAGCAGGCCGTGGTAATGGCCATAAAGTAACGTTTTTTAAGGGCCCCGAGCTTGTTTAAGAGGAAAGTTCTAAAGACTCCAATGTTTTATTTGCGCTTTCCACAACGTCTCCGCGATGATAGTGCTGGTGTAAGGTGGAATAAACCAAGCGCAAAGAACCTTCCCCTGCCCGCTCTGCTGGCTTGCAAGTGCTGCAACATAATTGCTTTCCAGATTGCATTTAAAACGTCAATTCTCACTTGCTATTACTGGAGAATCTTTTTTCTTGATATTTTATGGAATGTCAAGGCTAAAGTCAAAGGGGGGTTTAAGACGCGGGCGCAAACGGCGCGAAGTAGGCCCTTCTTAAAGCTCCCTGTAAAGCTTCCCTTAAAGTTCCCCCTTCAAGCCCTTGAAGCTCTCGAAGCCCCCCTTAAAGCCCCCCTTGAAGCCCCTTGAAGCCCCCCTTGAAGCTCCCCTTCAAGCCCACCCCTTCAAGCCCTCCAAGCCTTCGACCCTTCGCCTCCCCCCCCCTCCCCCCCCTTCACCCCCCCCTTTAAGCCCCCCTTCAAGGATCCGACCCTTCAGCCCCACTTAGTGCATCGTGCCTGAATCCGTGGCATTGCAAGAGTGTGTTGGAATTTGGAATTGACGAGCCTTCCAACTCCATTGAAGACTTTAGCATCTGCACAAGTCTGAACATGGCAGAGAAATTCATAAAGCATCATGTTGTAATCACATCAGCCCAGGTTTGTCGTCAAGCAACACTTCCGTCACGTTGTGTTTGACCCAGACGGCTTGGGCCTGGGACGAAGGGGGCTTGAAGGGGCTCCCCTTGAAGGGGCCACTATAGAACATTTTTATGTCACCATAACGACACTTGGAAATTTCTTGGCTAGAAAAGAAGGAGAAGAAGAATATAGGGTGGAATTTTAGAACAATTTGCTCTCTTTCCTCTTCTAGGGGCTCTTGGGTGCCCTGGGCTGGTCTTGCATCATTGTTCTTGCTAACAAGTCCTTATTGGCTGACCACCATGGGCGCCTTACTGTGTTGGTCGGCAACTCTGCTGTTTTCTTTGATTTACAGCTTTCCGTGCTAACCTTTGCACCAGTGGCTGCGTAATGGTGGTTTTGATGATCTGGCAAACTCGCATTTTGCGACCCCCCCGCGTGCTCTGCGCTGCTCGATTACACCTGGATTTCTGCGACAACTTCAAGTACTAAGCGCGGGGAACACGAGAGGTTTAGTGCTCTAATCTTGCGGGTTGCTGCTGGTTGGCAGTTGTGTTTGGTGTGTGTTTGCTTTGGTTTTCGCACCTGCTCTGTTTCACCCCCAGTGTTAAGATCCACAAGAACGGTCTACTGCGCTGCTGATGTAGTAAAGAGGCATTGGTCCAAAAAAAACAAAAAAGTTATGGAGAGCGCAAATGACGGATCAACGGCCAAACGTAATGCCAGACAAAAAGAGAACAACAGATGGCGCGCACCATGCCAATCCTTGATTA